ACATAAACAATTGTATGTGTGTGTGTTTGTAAAAGTCATGAAAACGTCTTTGACATCAATAAAAAGAAATTATCAGGGAGCAAAAATCTGATGTGGCAATAATGGAGATTAAACATAATCTTGTCATGTCTTTTCTCCTTCCGTTTACAGATTTTTTTTTGCTTCTCAACTTTTTTCTCCTTTATTTTATTTGGTGTTTTATGTTCGTCTTAAATTCTTTGCTCATTCAGTGTAACTGATAAATTGTCTGTCAAGAGGCATGATCTTCCTGGATGTAGAAAAAGCATTTGACAGAGTCTGGCATAACGGACTCTTGTACAAAATGCTCAAACTGAGATTTCCACTGCCACTTATAAAAACTGTAAGATCTTTCCTCAGTGAAAGATCTTTCGCAGTTTTTATTAAAGGTCAGTTCTCAGAAATCAAGGTAATCAAATTCGGAGTGCCACAAGGAGCAGTGCTTTCACCAACTCTCTACAACATCTTCACGTATGATGTTGTAAGAGAGACAACCAACAACATCGGTCTTTTCGCAGATGATACAGCACTGTATCATTCTGCAGAGAACTCGGCTGATATTGTGACACATCTACAGCACACAGGAAGAAAAGTTCAACAATACATGAACAAATGGAAGATCAACCTCAACAAACAGAAGACTCAAGCCTTATTCATCACAAACAGGCACTCCAGGCAACTACCAGGAAATAACATCAAATTTCTCAACGAAAACATCAAATGGGAAACAGAAGCTAAATATCTGGGAATGGTGATCGACAAGAGAGTGACATTAAAGCCGCATGTGGAGTATGTGACCAATAGGGCTCACACCGCATTAAGACAGCTTTATCCGCTCATCAGCAGGAACTCACAACTCGACGTACGAAACAAACTTCTCATCTACAAGCTAGCCATCAGACCAATATTCACATATGGTTGTCCAGCGTTTGGAAGCATGGCAAAAACCCATCTTCAAAAACTTCAAGTACTGCAAAACAAATTCTTGAGAATTGTTCTCAATAAAACAAGATATGAAAGGATCACCGATCTTCATACAGAAGCGAAAATACCGTCCATCGAAGACTACGTCGGAAAGTTGCAAGCGAACTTCAACAGTCGTCTTGCATCTCAAAACACCGAATAAATCAAATGAAATACAAAAGAAAGTAAAATCCGTAAATGAAATCAAAAATTAAGAGACAAAAGGCAAATTGAATGCCTGAAACCTTAAAAAACAAAAAGCAACAAAATGTATAGAAACTTTGTACATACTTAAATTTAAATGTAAATAAATAAAAAGTTTAATTTAAAAAAAGAAAAAAAAGATAAATTGTCTTATTTTGAGCATTTTAGGTATTCAGAGGACAGGAAGAGGTGGTTTGACATGAAATCAACTTTTTGCATCCTACCTTTACTTAGACGCTTTGTTCTCAAAAAGAGAGCTTCAAAAATTCAATTTATGATAAGACTGGATTTGAACCGTTGACTGATGTTCTGAGACTGAATTGATGCTGAATGTTAAGACGACTGGTCCACAAAGATAAGCTGCATTTGTGATTCAGAAGGCAATTCTTATGGGAAAAACAGAAACCTAGCCACGGTGTTATTTTATCTGCTGGAGGATCACATTTAAAGATTTGCGAGAAATTAGACCTGAAAACAAATTCTAGGAATAATTAAAGTACCCTTTTCGAGTCACAATCAATTTGTTTTTTAAATCCACGATAGCTATGAAAAATTACAATATTAAGGGCACCTGTGGCAGTAGTTATCATGGTTTTAGGGACTAAACATGAATCTCTTCACATGGCTTCACAAACTGATACACAAAATTCTATAAATACGCCACCAAATTGTAAGCTACACATTTCTTTACGAATGACTTCAAATGGCTTCCGTTCTTCTGTCAAGGAGTGGATTGGGTGTTTATATTAAAGATTAGGGTACCATGGGTACCTCATGAAATTGACCCTAAGAATTCTTAAACTATGTGGCACTCTAGCATACAATATGGAAGTGATTTAATGTAACAGAACCTCCTTACTCCCTTCAAGTTGCAAAACATTTATAAAACTCCATAGTCCATAAGTCCATAAGTCTTAGTGAAACAATCCAAAAAAGACAATATAATTTGTTATCCATTCAAAAATGCTTTACATTCCATACAAACTGAATTTTTCTAACTTCTTTAAACATTCTCAAGCACAGAAATAATTTTCTTTTCCCTTTTATGGCCTTCCTGCTCTGTTTGTCATGTAATAAAATAAATTTTTTCACGAATAAACTCGCGAGTTTAATAATTGTTAAGCTTGTGTATTACATTTAATTATACTAACTTCTAATTTAATTTCTAAAATTATTGCAGAGACACAGACAAAAAAAAATCTTTTTAATTAAATTAAATTTTGAGTCGTCAATAATTTTTCATCGCTATTAAAAGTGGGTCAAAAAAATTGCTTCTGATAACAGCTCTGAAATGAGTCAATTTCATTTATATATTTTTTTTTTGCTCTTTTCATTAAATCGTTTAAAAAATGCTGAAGTGGTCCACCGCACACGTATTAAAATATGATTTAATCATATTAATGAATATGATTCATGGCGGTATTCAGTGCCGTTTTATCAACTCGATTGTGCTGTTGACAAGAAAAATTAAAACAAATTTTTGATATTTTTTTTCTGGTGAGTTAAAGAGGATCCAATTTAATTATGAAAATCTCGACAGCTTTTTTTAACGAATTGAGTGTGTTGGAAGTGATCTAGTGTTTTGATATTTGAAGCTTTAAACTGAAAAGTGGAAAAATCCCTGGCTAGACAACATTTAATAAAATTACCAACTTATCAACTCATCGTTTTGGTTTTTGAGGTTTCACTTACAGTGACAAATTTTACACACATTGAAAATAATTAAAGCTGTAATTTTATTAATTCAATTTTTGTGAATTTTCTTTTTTATTGTCGTTTTTAAAAAATAATTTTGCAAACCTAATAACTTTTTTCTACTATTGAAATTTGAAAAGTTTTTTTAAAAAGCTTTATTTTGCTTCAATAATTCAAAAATTGGATCTTTTTCAATCAATTGCTTCATTTTTCATTTGAGAATCTGATTTCATGAAGTGTTCCTATATATGTACAGCTAAAGCCAATCAATTTTTCATTTCTAAGCACAATATTGCATTTTAAGTTTTATTCCATTCCAGAGTTGAGAAAGCGGATATTTTTAAAAAAATATTATTTTAAATATTTGCGGTTGATCAAGTAACATTTTGTGATTGACTAGTGTAGTAATGAATTTAGCAGCCTCAATGGTCTTGAATAAAATGATGCACGTGGGCCCATTACCACATTCAGAGTTCGTCTAAAACTGGCTCTATATTTACACAACTTTTGCCAGTTTCTAATTTCTAGCACATTAGCATCGTTGCTTACACAGCCATTCCACGAGTTCTTTGGTCTACCTCGAGATCTCTTACCATCCAAAAATTCAGCTGCTGTTACTTTCAGCACTGATGAGCCTTCTGGTTGTCTGTTTACATGCACATCACCTTCACTATATCAACTTACTGATAAAGCTCATATAATTCCTCATTATGCCAACTTCTGTATTCCTCCATATCTTTTATAGGGCCATAAATTGTTCTCAACACTCGCCTCTCAAAGACACCAAGAGATTCTTCATCAGTGACCGTTGTATTCCAGGTCTCAGATCTATATAACACAATCACTCTAATCAACGTCTTTTATAAGTTTTTCTTCGTGCCTCTTGACAAACTTTTGGATGATACGACTAGACACTGAAAATTATACAGGCATTGCAACTAAATAAGAGCTAATGATCTGCATTGAATGTTTTTTTAAGACTGTTCTGCGTTTTTTTCTTTGTATTCTTTATCTCAAATTCCAAACTACGACTCTGGAGTAAATGAAAAATTTAAGATGATTTTATCTTATTCTTCCTGAGTTAACCTTAAAAATCGATTCACTTATGACGTTCATTAAGACTAGAGGTCAATTTTTCATCAATTATTGAACTTGATTTAAACTTTTTCTACTCCTTTCTGAGCCCAAGTATGACAAACATATAAAATGGAACAACCCTGACACATCTACAATTCAATTCAAAAAAAAGCACAACAAAGCAGCTTTCTTGTTTTAAAAAATGAACAACAGCAAAATAAAAATCCAGCGCAACAATAACATTAGGAACGCTGCATAAGGAATTTGTTCTGAGCATCATTCAATATGTTTTGTTGTTGTGAAATGGACTGAATTGTAGTTTCGCCAAAAATTATATTTTTAAGCCTTTTGTAATATCCAAAATTGAAAGGTAAAGTTTGAGAATTAGAGTAGAAACTGATTCAGAATCATGCAAAAAAAATTGATTTTAGAATTTTTTTAGACAATGCCTTAATTTTTTGGAGCTGGATAAAAAAAATTCTATTCTCAAAAATAAGACAAAGCTCTATTATCAAAAAATTAGTAGTCCAAAAACCAATCAAGTTGAAATCACATTCAAAACCAGTTCAATCAATTAAATTCTAAATGAAGCAACTCACCTGGAAGTTCACAAAACATTTCCCAAAGTTTCAATTCCCAGATCAAATCCAATTCAACATGAACGAAAAATCGATCATGCGGAATCCTTTCAACTGCCACGATTTTCATACTTTTATTCCACCATGCATTTACATATTCTACGGTACTTAATAGTCCACGGAACAAATGGACAGAGGTGTAGTCTGGGGAAGGTTAGATGATCATGTGCATCCACCATTTTCTCCTTATTTCTAAAATGTTCAGTCCATATAACCCCAACCCTTCTAAAATTTTGACTATGATACCCGCACGTAAGTAAACTAAGTCCATCAAAAATATCCACACACAAGCTACATGCAAAGCAGCAGCAAAAAAAAAACTGCTGTAAAATCGATAAAATTCTAATTTAATTAAATTATGTAACAAATTCGAATCGTCGTTGTCGCTCTCACTTGACAATGCTCATAAGTCATTTAGAATTACATTGTCGTGCTGGTTAGATCAAAATCATTTCACATTTCGCATTATAAAGACATAAAATAAAAAAAAAAAAAATTTGAGGGATTTTTTATGTGAAATTTTAAGGCAATAAAAAAAAGAGCTTATTTTGTTGAGAACGGGAGTCTTTAGATACGCAAGACGTGGTGGCTTATCGTTTTGGATATTGCGTTACAATAAAAATAAAAGAACTTAAACATCAAAATGGTGAAAGATGATGCAGAAACAGCCGCTTTGAAGACGGAGCTCAATGAGCTTATCGAAAAGTCAAAGGAAGAGTCAAAAAAGCAGGCGGATTGTAAATTAGCAGAGAAATGTGGAGACATGGGCGCGGTACCAAAATGTCATTTGTCGACGAAGAAAACGCTCAAAGGACACATCAATAAAGTTAATTCTGTTCATTTTGCTGGTGATTCGAGGTTTAGTTTTTTTCGTTTTTTTTTGTGTTCTAATTTCTGTTTTTGTGGTTGACTTGTGTGAGTTTTTCGGAGATGGATTTATTTGTGAATCTTTTGAGTTAAGCTAAGTTGAGATTTAATTGTGCTTATTCAGGAATATAACTACAGTGCTTAACAAGCCTTGTGTTGCCTCTTATGTGTTACTCATATATGACATCTATCAAAAAATGGAATTTCATAGTGCTACAAACCTACATGTCCATTTTGTTCTTGAATTTTGAACTTAATGGATCATAAAATCTTTAAATGATGCCAAAAAAGTGTATCAACAGTTTCTAATTTGATTTGGTTGTTTTTCGCATATTCAAAAATTTTTGGAGCACCAGTCTTTGGAAGTACTATAGGGGGAGGGGAGGTCCTCAACTGAATTTGCTAACAAAATAAATAATCTTCTTAAAAATTTTGTAAAAAGAGGGTATGGGGGTGGTAGGGTCGAAAAATCTCGTTTCTAATAGACACTATTAAGAAAAAGCTCGAGAAAGTTTATAAAAATGTATGTGCACCCCCTCCCTCTCTCTATATCGATTAATTTATGACTATGCACTTTATCAGCTTTTTAGCTCCAAAGTTCAAGAGCAGAAGTTGAATGGCTTTAAACCCCATTTTTTAATAAATATTACTTATGAACAACCACTTTAAACATTTACAAAAATCCCATAAATGTCGCAATTCACCCTAATTAGCTTATATACAATACATTCTTCCAAGAAAATCACCAAAATTAGCAACAAGTTTTAATTCAATTATACAAAAATATTCTTACCAACCTCAGATACTGCGTCTCAGGCTCGCTCGATGGTAAACTCATAATATGGGACACATGGACAGGCAACAAAGTTCAAGTAATTCCCCTACGTTCGTCATGGGTCATGTCAGTCGCATATTCAGTCTCAGGAAATTATGTCGCATGCGGTGGAATGGATAACATGTGCACGATATACGATGTCAATAATCGTGATGCAAGTGGATGTGCCAAAATAGTTCGCGAATTAGCTGGCTATGAAGGATTCTTAAGTTCATGTCGATTCATTGACGACAGCCACATCCTAACCGGATCCGGTGACATGAAATTATGCGTTTGGGATTTAGAAGCTGGCAAAAAAACATCGGAAGTGGCAGCACATGGTGGCGATGTCGTATCGCTTTCACTCTCTCCCGATGGCAATCAATTTGTAACTGGTTCAGTTGATCGAACATGCAAGCTATGGGATGTACGTGATTGCAAACAAATACAAACATTTTTCGGTCATACATCTGATGTCAATAGGTGAGTAGCCTGCTTCCATTTCAGCGACGATGATGATGATGATGATGGCCCATTTCCTGTATAATTCAATTAACAACATCTGTCGCATGAAATGAAAGCAACATAAATTTAATTCTCATACGTGGACGAGAAGCTGCTCTACTTAATTTCTATTTCCTCATTCCACTTTGTCACTCTTATTTTGTATTTTTATTACTTCACACTAGTGTTACTTTCCATCCAAGTGGATATGCCTTTGCAACAGCTTCCGAGGATAAAACTGCTCGTCTCTTCGACATTCGTTCAGATCAGGTAAATAAATTAAATGGATATTGGATATGGCTATTATGTTTTGTTGTTGTGGCTTGTGCTATTTTTATAGTGATTATTTGGGATGTGGGACTGTTCACTAATGACTTATAGCATTAAGAAGGGGGTTATGAGATATTGTAGCTCCTCAAAAATCAGTATAGTATGCTACTTGGTGACAAGTGGGGAGGTTGTCTAATAATCCGATTTTTTGATAGACATGATAAGTGGATTGTCCCAAAGATATTAAATTCAGGAATAAAATTGGGAATATAGGATGATTTTTTTCGTGACTAAGGTTATAATAGGCATAAAAGTTGGATGCCGCTGATGTTTGTGGAGCAATTCACTTAAAAATTAAATAATCATTTAGAATGGAGCAGAAGGTCTAGTCTAAAACCTCAATTTTACTTCAGACAACTCTTACAAATAACAGGACTACATACAAAAAGTTACGGTGACATATGTCTCATGATGGCGTATTAACAGTAAATAGTAGACCTAGACAGCTCATGTTGCTTTATGTTTAGCAAGGAACTACAAAACTGATGTAGAAGGCCCAAATCGTTACTTAAAGAAGATCACATCCCTTATCTGCCACTATTGACACCGACCTCCATTTTAAATACATCCTCAAAATTATTTTCATTTAAACAATCACTTTTATCCTCCCAACACAAGCATGAACTCCACACATATTCAAAAATATCCACCATAACTTCAATATCCAATTATCAGGCAAAACAAGAAAACATTTTTCCAATTATAATACTTTTGTGCTGATTATACCATGCAACCAATTGAAATAATAGGCATAATATAAGTATGTTCTACAGAAGCATGAACCTTAATTGAATTGTTCATTCTCTAACCTTTTGTCGACAACAGTTTGTTAAACTTTTTCTTTTTACCTTTTTGCTGTTGCTGCTTTACACTCCATAAATTTTTGTATCACCTGAAATTTTTTTATTTATTTACTTTTAAACAGCAAATTGGACATTATGAGCCACCTAATAAGACTTCTGGTTTCACATCCTGTGGTAAGTAATAAAATGATTTTTTGAGGTTAGGTGAATTTTAAAATATTCCCTCTAAATTCCTCAAGAACCCTCAAACACTCAATTTAAATTGCCACTACAAAAGCTTTTAATTTTCATTTCAACAGCTCTTTCACTAAGTGGACGAATGCTTCTCTGCGGCTCAGACGATAACAATATTCACATATGGGATACAATGACGGCTCAGCACAACTCAACGCTTGGTGGTCATGATAACCGTGTAACATCAATTTGTATGGCACCAAATGGAATGGCACTCGTCTCATCGAGCTGGGATCAAGCTGTTCGTGTTTGGGTTTAAAAAACTCGAAAGTTTCAAGCATTTTTTTTTACATTCATGCTGCGTGCTTTTTCCACCATTTGAAAATACTTTTTATTTGCTACTGCTACAACTGAGAGAAATTGATGACTACATTTTTTTTTGTCTGGTGCGTGGAAAGAGTGAGCGAGCGATGAATTGCAATTGCGAAAAAAAGGCACTTAATTAAATTAAAAAAGATTAAACATTTATGTTTCCTACAACATTTTTATTTTTTTCGTTCGTACGTTCGATTGGAACGACCTCAATCCAATTTTCAATTTTCAATAGCTTTTTTATTTGGAATTTTTTTACACATGCAGACACATGTGAATTTTTTGAGTGGAAGGGTAGGAAAATTGAGGAATTTTGTCAGAATTTTTAAAGATTTTAAAAATTTTATTTATTTTTTAATTTTTTAAAATTCAATTTTGAAATACAAAAATCAGACAATTTTTCTACAAGAATTCCAAAAAACCACTCAAAAAATATTAAAAATCCTCATTGTAATTTCGAATTAAAATTAATACTCACTGAAATATCTTCACAAGCATCTCCCATGTCCCATTCTACAAGAAACCAAAAATCATTCCAGCAAAAAACCAACTCCATTTAAAAAATTACCATCGATATTGCCATTTTACTACTACTTTATATACAAATAAATCGATAATTGAGTGGATTTCATTAATTGGCTTATTGTGTTGCTCGAAGCCAATATCTCTGTCGATGTTTTTATTTATAAATAAATATTTTAACTCACTGATACTGATATAACATGGCATTTTACAGAATTATTATATGAATGTCATTATTATAATAATGATGTCTTTATTCCGAAATGATAATGATGATGATTTTTCCTTTGTAATCATTTTATGTTTAATTTTATTGCAGTTATTGAATAAAATTATGATCATTTGGTAGAATAATAAAAATATTCATCACAAAAAAGGAGATTTTGAGCTTTTTTTTGAAGTTTGGTTGCCTTGATAGAGTTTTTTAGAGCTTTTATAGACTCAACAGAGATTAGACAGACATAGCAAAGCCTAGACAGTTTTAGCAGATCTTTGGAAGACTTTAAAGATCATGAACAGATTTAATTGATTCTTAACTGACTTAATAGAGTCTCAACATATGTAACAGAGCCTTAACAGAGTGTTAAAAGACTTAGTAGAGCCTTAATGTGCATTGGCAAATTTTATAGACTGGAACAGAGCTTCACTGACTAAATAGAACTTTAACAGACTTAAAAAAAGCCTTAAAAGAGCTATCAATACCTTGGTATATTTAACAGAGCCTTGACAAACTTAGCAAAGCTTTTTTGGAATTGACAGAGGCTTGATAGACTTAATAGAGCCTTAACTAAATTAACAGAATCTTGAAAAATTTAACAGAGCCTTAATAGGCTTTAATAATCTTAAACAGACTGAACATAGCCTCGACAGACTTCACAGATCCTTGACAGACTTAACAAAGCTTTGTTAAAATTGACAGAGTCTTGACAGACTTAATAGAGCCTGAATAAATTAACAGAGCCTTAATAGGCTTCACAGTTCCTTAACAGAGTCTTGGCAGAGCCTAAACAGACTTAATAGAATCCTGACAGACTTAGCAGAATCAACAAAGTTTTAAGACACCAAATCCAAATATTCCACAAGGGTTTAAAATCTATGTTAAACATTCAAATTTGACGCACAAAAACACCCGCAAACATTCACACCTCTGCAATAGTTATTAATCATAAATTAATCCACAAAATTCCAATTCAATTATCGTTTAATTAATTCCGTGTAACATTTCACAGCGAATTTCAATCAATTTTGTTAAAAATTCATTAATAATTTTAATTGCGAATATTCATCAAAAAAAATATTATTTCCATTATTAATCATCCAATTTCCATAATCTCCAACATCCAACATGATTGCAAATGTTTTTCTGTGTGGGCATCATGAATCATGGTAAATGCATAGCCAGAGCAGTTGCAAATAATTTTGTTGAATGACAAAAATTAATTAATCAATTTAATGCAAAATAATTTTCTTCATCTCACATATAATGAAGTGCCTTTCGTTGTTGTTTGTCTAATAAATTCACTTCTAATTATCCTCTCAGTTACACAGATTGTGTCCCATCGTCATCATCATTATTCATTTAACCGAAAATGCAAAGTGATGGAGAAAGACGAGAGGATGGGAGATGTTGATGAAGTTTTATGTATTATTGGACGGTTTTTGAAGATTAGAGCGTCTATAATGTTTAGTCTATAGTGTCTTAGTGTTTGTCTAGTTTACAGGTCAGTAAGGTCATAGCTAAAGACATGGCTTGAGACTAGCCACAAATTAAGCATTTTCCAGGATTAAGTCAAAAACCAAACCTCGTTTAATGATGATTATTGGCAAACCTAGTAGGAATAGGGTTTTGATACAGGCAAAACATAGCTTTGTTAAAAAACCTTATAAATTATCAAGGCTTCGTACGGTTCTCACCTGTGCACAGGTGCCTGTTTCGCAACGCTGTCTAGTACTTCATCAATAGTTTGCTATTTTAAACCTATCCCTCGATTAAGTCATTGAGGAGCATGTTCTAGCACCCTGAAACAGCACACAAACTAAGAACTCAACTGTTTTTCTTTGATTTAAATTTTATTTACATATTTTACACTACAGAGTTGCCAATCAGTCTTCAACAAATAACATTCTTAGTAGGTAGTCCTTTCCTAATTCTAATTCTGTCACCAAGTTCTACTCTATTATGCTTTTGATGTATTATCAAATGCTTTTCAAGATGATCAGAGCGAACGAAGCCACCTCCACAGATCTTGCAGATGTGATCCTTGATTTCTTCGTGAGTCTTAAAATGTCTCTTTAAGTCGACTTTGTTGTTGTAAGACTTTACACATTTTGAGCATCTGAATGGCTTGTCACCTAAGTGCTTTTCCATGTGATGGTTAAGTAATTCTTGTGATGGATATTTCTTTCCACACTTTGTGCATTTGAAGTTCCTGTTTCCAGTGTGAACGATGTTCATGTGCTGTGTTAAGTGACAGCGTAGGTTGAAAGTTCTTGGGCACATTTGACATTGAATCTTTGATTTTGGTTGTTCTTCTTTTATCATCATTTGTGCTGGTTGTTGTAAAATTCTTTGCTGATGTTGGATATGAACAGCAGGCTTGACATAAACTAGTGGTTGGGCTTGAACAATTGGCCGGGAGAATTGTGGAACTTGAACCATTGGCTCTGAAAATTGTGGAACTTGTTTAATTGCCTGTGATTTTGGAACTACGTTGCTTGGCATATTCTTGAAGAATGGCTCACTGCTTGCAATCAGATCTGTCAATATATCTTCAACGGTTGAGAACTGTTTTACTTTTTCGATTGGTGTGTCATCGTCGTCAAAGTTGAAGTTCTCGTAAAAATCTTTTGCTGTTTTTTCAGACTCAAGCATGAATATTTGATCATCAATTGCATGCAAGATTTCAATATCTTCTTGTGTAAGCTCAGTAATTGAACTGACATCTTGTCGAACGTCAGACTGGTTATACCAGGGACTTGTCATTACTTCCTGCTTAACAACTTGAGGAATTCTTATTACTTCCTGCTTAACAACTTGAGGAACTCTTTTTACTTCCTGCTTAACTTGGAATATGTCAGTAATTTTTCTGACCTCTTGCTTCACATTGAAGCTTAAACCATGCTTGACTTCATTCTTTCTGACATATTTTCTTTTCTGGTTGACTTTCTTTCCACGTCGTTCCATCCCCAAAGCACGTTGATGCTTCTTTGTATTCTGATGTCTACGCAAATAAGCGATTGATGGAAAGTCAAGTGAGCACGATTCACAGTAGTAAATTATGTCTCCTGATGCATTTTTGTACTCAATGTGATTTTCTTGTTGTGGATATTTTACATCCTCGTCGTCTTCAAAAATTTCTTCCTCAATGAGGTCGTCTGGATTAAAATCGTTGTTGTCTTCATATATTATTTCTTCGGGATTATGAGGAACTTGATATGCAATTGACACAACACTTTTGTTCATGTCATCTGATTTTACTGGAACTTCAAATACGAAAACTTCGTCCTGTTCCATTTCCTCTCTGGATCTTTTGACGGGTTGAATGTTTTGTTGAGTTTGTTGATCAACTGATTGATTTGATTCTGGTACATAAAGGTCGTGACTTGTGAAATGATTTTCTTCTAAGTTAAAGTCGAATCTAACGGTTTCCCAGTCGAAATCCATTATTTATGTTTTTTACCAATTTGTATTGTTCAATAGGATTTGAACCTTATTTAATTATTAAACTTTTAATATTTTAAAAACTTTAAGTTTTAAGATTTTTTGTAGAATGTTGTTATCGCTTAGACTTTCAGTTGCTGAATATTGGTAATTAAAAATATCCGGATAATTTATACCTGAATTTTGAGAATTTCAACGAATTATTGAAGTTAAAATTTGAAAACAAAAACAACCGAAAATGAGATTTCTTGAAACTTTGTTCAAAAATTGTAATTTGCAAAACAAAGATAAATTTTTGCTTAATTGGAATTGCATAGTTGAGTTAATAAACAATTTTTGAGTTTAAATTTATAACAATATCAAATAGTTGCAGAGATATAGCCTAAAGAAGTTGATAGAAGCTTACTATACGCCTAATAAGAAAGGAGAATCAACTGTCCTGCCTTAAAAATGCACATTTTGATAGCCTAGCTAATGCCGTTAAAAAATCGACCAACAAATAATAACATTCGCCATAGACAAAAAGTCCCAACACATCTACATACCCACATCCACATCAACACCAAACACTGTCACAAAGTGGTTAATTGATTAATTTTTAATGACTTTATTAGAGACAAATATTTTATCATTCTTCATATGTCTTGCGTCACATGGCATTATCAGTAAGATAGAGCGAATGGGAATAATTTTGGACATTGTTTGTGGCTTGCACGTTAGACAAACTTTTTTTCTCTCCCGTTCAACTATCCACTTTCATGACATAAACCTCAGTCTTGTTAATCCTTTTCATCACGGTTGAGTGACTCTAAATGCATGAATTATTCATACATGAGACATAATCTTGTTAAATTTTCATGGAAATTTGAACTGATTTTTTTTATGGTAATTTAAATTTTCATAACTGAGATTCAATTGGAAATTGTTTGATTATTGTTGAGGTTCATTGAAGGATTTTGTGGACTGATTGAAATGAAAATAGAAAAGATAAATGTAACTTGATATAGCCAATTATTAAGCCTGACGTAATTTTGTAGATAGACTTCAAATCCACTTGAAATTTTACAATTTTGCCATGATATTCTTCAATTTATTTATTTCATTTAGAATATATAGAAAAATCTTCAGATTTGATCCTTAAGATACACAAGAAAAATATGTGGGACTCAATGGGGATTGTTTTGATATTCCGTGATGCTTAAATTGCAAGGTCAGAAACCACCCCACCCAGCCTTGACTTTACGAAGCTTCCACAGCTTACTTAAGGAAACCAACCACCCACCCCTCCTTTTATCTCCCAACAAAGACTCAAAACTAAGATAAAGAAGTAAGACATGAAAATTTGTTATGCATGATTTTCGATGGGCCTCAACGATATTTATATTATGCTTTCATGTCATTCACATAAGCACATACAAATGTATGTAAATCTATGGATAAATTTATTTATTTTTGTATCTTTTTTGGGATCTTATGAAAAAATCTTTTCATGTCTTTTGTCTTATTCTTCTCTTAAAGAGATGGATTTTTAGAGATTTCTGAAATGAAGAAGGGTTTTTGAATTGTAAATTATTAAAGTACAAGCATGTATGTCACTTTTTTGATGTTGCTTAAGTTTTAGCAGATTTTTGAAATGTTTTTGCAATAGGAACATGTTAAGTGAGTGACCTGGTGTGGTTTAAAGGCTCGATAATAAGTTCGAATCTCAACATATTAGTTTCTGTAATTATATAAGTAAACTATAATTTTATTAAAATGATAACAATCATTAAACGATAATAAATTACATCCTCATTTGGTTAAAAAAGTTAAAAAGGACTACCACCGAAAAAAATTATAAAATGACATAGCTTTTACTATTTCAGTTTGATAAAAAAAATAATCTACTTGCAAGCACATGGACGGTTTGATAGCTCATAAACTAAATGTTTTAAGTCTTCTAAGTTATCCTGTAATTCTGTAATTTTTGATCCTTGACTTTCAATTATTGACCCTTGACTCTCAATTATCAATCCTTGATTTTCTACTAATAAATCTAATTCTTCAATTAATGTTCCTTGAGCCTCATTTTCCTTGACAAGGGCAACAATTTGATCCTTTATTTCTGCTGCTCCTTCGTGAAGTTGCTGGTTTTCATTTTGAATGTCAGCAATTATTAATCCTTGATCTTTGATGATTGAGCTTTGATTTCTATTCTCATTTGTTAGATCATTAATTTGAGCCTCCAAAATAGCGGTTTTGTTTATGAGAATTTTCTGATTTTCCTCAATTTTCCTACCATTATCATCAACATCTGAACGAAGCTCCTGATTCTGATCTTTCAATTCTTGAGTAATGCTAGTAAGTCTTTGATTTTCGTTTTTGATTTCAGTGATGACTAAAGTTTGATTCATTACCTCATTTTTAAGTGTACTTTGGTCCCTAGAGATTGTGTCCACGCGGGTGTTTAGATTGGCTACATCTGTTCGGATTGCTTCATTTCCTTTCGTAATGTTTTGCATTTCTGAGCGGATTTTGATATTTTCTGCAGTGAGGTTGTTAACCTTGACTTGAAGTTGATTTGTTGTTGCAGTTAATTGCTGATTTTGATCTTCAAATTCGGAAACAATAAACGAAAGCTCCTCTTCAAGTTTGCGGACTCTTGCTATTGTGTTTGAAAAGTAGTTTTAATTTTTATTGTTAAGTTCAAATTAATTTTAATTTATTCCTACCTGGAAGCAAATCGTCGAATTTTTTAAAACAGTTCAGCAATGCTAATCTCATTGACATTCTTGAGGTTGAATTATCGAAGATATTTTGATTAGCACAAAGATTGTTTGTTATGTCTAACCTTTGTACTCCAGTATTATCAATAACCTTTTCATCAATCGCTTCAATTTGGTTTTGTTGAAGGTATATTGTTTTAAGTTTAAATAAACTTCGAAATGGATCAGATTGAGTAATTTTCAGCTTGTTATTGTGTAAATAAATAACATTTAAAGCTTTTAGTGGCATAAAAATATTTCTTGGAAGTTCTTCAATTTGATTGTTGTCCAGCCACAAAGTTTGTAGCTTATCAAGTGATAAAAACCACTCAACTCTTGGATTTTTCAGCTGGTTACTCTCAAGATCCAAAGTTATCAATTGTGAAGTGAATTAAAAATATTTTTTGGCAAGTCAGGAAGTTTGTTGATATATAAGCCCAAATAGGTTAAGTTGTGTAGATTTTTAAAGGTATTTTCAGATAACTCCGATATCTGATTGATGGAAAGTTGCAAAGTTAAAAGCTCCAAGTTTTCAATGAATGCCTTTTCATCTATTTTTGTGATTCTATTGCCACTTAAAACCAAAAATATAATCTTTTTACAATTTTTAAATGCTTTATCATCAATCGTTTTAATTCCAACTGAATATAATTCAACGTTAATAGAATTTTGAAATTTGTCACAAATTATTGACGGAACATTTGTTGTATTAGAACCAATTAATCCTAAAACTCTCCGAACATCATTGTTTGTTTTTCCTGTTAAATGAGTTCCACCAATCGATGCAAAATTGTTTAATCCATTTGGATTTTGAATTGTCAAATCACAAGTATATCCGTAAGTGTCATTATTTCTGTAATTACAACTCAAAAATTGACCGAGACTGGGCCGAAAATTCACCAAAATAATTAAAATCACAAGTTTAAGAATCATTTTGTTTACAACTTATAAACTTTTCAACTTCAACTGTTGATTAATTGGCTGTTAAAACTTGATTTTATACAATTTTCGTCTGCAATAAAAGTCTATTTTGGTATTCTGATAAACTTAATTAATAACATGTTCATAGTAATAAAAAAGTAAAATAAGATAAGTGTAATTATACACAACAAAACGAGAACCATTCCTAAATACCATCCAAAAATTAAGGTTGCTTTTTATAAATAACAATAAAATTCGAAAAAAATTCCTTTTTATAAAACGTCTTAAAACACCTGCAAAATTTAAATTTAAGTATATACAAGTTTTTTTTTAAATTTTGTTGCTTTTGATTTTTTAAGGTTTCAGGAATTCACTTTGCCTGTCCTGAAACATCATTTACGAACGAAATTTTAATTAATATTTTATTATATTAATATGTTCGGTGCTTTCCCAATTTTATTTTTATAACACTCTCAAGTGCTTTATGACTTTACTACTTACTTCTTACTTCCTTAGCTGGGGCGCACGTGGTGCAGCTCTTCTGCCAGTTCGGGATATTAAGGACTCAAGCGTTATTTTCAACACATCCAATCCACGAGATCGTCGTTCTTCCTGGGGATCTCTTGCCATCCATAAAGTCTGGCTTTATGACTTTAGCCAATTTATAGATGAATTTGCCAGTTCAAGAGTAAGGTTTTTATGGTTAATTGGTACGTTCTAATCTAACTATAGGTCGATTTCGTAAGTATTAGCCTAATTTGCAAACCAATACTTTTCCTCTCACGCATTGTATTTAAAACACAATAATTCTCAGTGAATGACCTGTAACTCCTCACAAAAAATGCCTCCCCACATTAGAGACCAATAATAATCGATAATTGAAAATATTGTTTGCTTTACGTAGATTAATATTCATGAATGTCCATTTATTTTCCATGTGAATTTATGGAGATTATTCATTAAACTAATTGAAGCAAAAATATGATTTGCATATTTAATGATCCTAGTAACTAGCATTAAATTTATTGACAGCAAAATTTATTCATTTTAACATCTTTTTGTGTCCTTCAAAATTATTTGAACTTTTCTTGGCATCAAAATTTAACGTATTGAGCAATAGGACTTAAAAAATCAAAAAATCTTAATAAAAAGCTGCAAAATTCATTAAAAATCAACAAAAATAATTTATTTCAAACCTCATCAAGAATCCCAATTTTTTGACTGATTCAGCAATCATCCTAACAAGAAATCATAAGATCCAGCATATAAATCAACAAATTATCCTCTTAATGGCATCCCAAAAACCACTCAACAGCTTCATTTGGTTCCATAAAAAAGTTTGTCAAGATTATCAATTCATGAAGTCAGAAGATGAAAATTATACGAAATTAAGTGCCCCAAAGCTCGCATCAATGTCGTCGTATCATTGGAGTCACATGAGTGATGTTGAAAAGCAGCCGTATGTGGAGGCAGCAAAAACAAATCAAATTGGAAAAATAACAAATTCTGACATTTCTTATGTCAAATAAAAAAATTATTATTTATGAAATTCAAAACAAAAATCTTCAAATTTTATCATCTTTTATAAGTGCTTAATGTTTATGTAGGTGATGTACCCTTATCAGAATTTTTTTTAATGCCACTTCAATGGCATGACAAAATATCTTCTTACACAATCAATAAGGATTATCTTTTTGATATAAACATTAATCGGTTTTTGAAAGATCTGTAAGTAAATCGTATTTTTATAAAGTATTTTGAGCTTTATTGGCAAGGGATGGGATCTTTTTTGTCAGTGGTTGTTTAAATCACTTGCTCTTTATATTGATTTATTTAATAACTTTGTTATCAACTTCAAAACTCAGTGTGTGCATTCCTCAAACCTGAGACCTCAAAACCTTACTCTAATCAATTCCAAAACTCGTTGAAACTTCTTTATTTAGAACTTTGCATCCTTTGTCATGGTCTTTGGATCACTTGTAGCTTAAAACCTGCTCGCCATGAGTGAAACCTCAAAACCGATTTTCTATGCTTGCAAAAATCATCTGAATAAAATCCTCAAATCAAGTTTCAAATAATATCCCAAATTCCCTACAATTTATACTCAATATTTTCACAATCAACTCCAAACACCCTTCAAATCAGCATCTTGAAATCTTCTTGATCAACAAACCTTATCATAGCTTTTTTACCCTTTAACTCACAATCACCCCCAAAAAAATAGTACCAGAAAAAAACATCGAAATGAAAACTGTTGGTTATGGCAATTTCACAGTAAGAGATAATAAATCAACAGAAGTATTATTGGAACATATGTAAGACATGACATTATAAGCATCAGAATCAAAATTTCACTTTTTTTTCCTCTTCCTCCTACTCGATTTTCTCGTTGCTCCTGATCTTTTTTGGATTATTATGAATGTTTTTTTGTTGTTATCCATTTTATGCTGAGGATTTTGAATGTGGAAAGGATGGAAGTTAAGAAGCGTCGGTTTGTCGGGGATCTGACTTGGATGGTTTGACTAGATGAGATTTAAATTGATTAAGAAAGTTGAATGACAGAAGAATCTTAGTTTTATGAGGCATGTGTCCTGGAAAATATTAACGGATCCATTTTTCAAGTAACCGAGAAACTGATTCTTACAGCACACCTTTGTTAAATCATTATTCTTCCTTCTTGAATCCCCTATACCAGTGTTTCTCAAACTTTGCTTCACGAAGCTTTTCTGTTCCACGAAAAAAATCTAGATTTGTTAAAAGTGGTTGCCAGCGTGGCAAGGAAACATGAACGGATGATTTACTGTTTCAATGCCTAAAAGTTTGAGAAACACTGCCTTACACCCAGGCTGACCATCTGCTTGGGTTTTCAGTGGACAGTCTTCTATTTTTTTTTTCATTTTCAAAAATAAAATAGATTTGTTTTGTTTGTAATTCGTCCCAGAAAACGAATAAAATTGGTAGATACGTGGAATGTCCTCTACTTTACTTTAAGGTGCTCTATTTTAATAAAAAAATGTCTGGTCATTTTACCTTTACTCTAAGAAACGACTCTGATCTTAAAAGAAAACCGCAAAATAAACATCATTAGCTTTAATTAGATTATTGAAGTGTCATGCAGTTTAAAAACCTTAATTGTAGTGCGTTTTATCGGTGAACTTATCATTACATGTTGAAAACCCTTGTTGCTGAGTAGCATGGCAACATATTTGAAGATTTTAGCCAGAGTTGCGATACAGGCAGTGCCTATTAACAGGTAAGTGACAGGTGATTACCTGTGACAGATCGCAACTCTGATTTCAGCATCTTAGTTCTACAAGCATGTGCTCAATTCCCAACCAAAAATTGATGTTCCTAATGTATGATTCAATAATTGCAAATCTTCAAATAACAGCATCACCACCTGATCGTTTAACATCGCTACAAACATTATCATACCTCAATGCCTTTTTATCTTCCTTCCTGACATTTGAAACACAAAAAAAATATTCTCCTCAATTCGACAGAGCACAAAACATATATTTTTGTGAAGCATATGGAAAGCAGATTAAATTAAATCGAGTGTTTGTTTTTTATATTCACTCTTGATTGATTTTTAAATTGACTCTTATGCACGACACATATATACTCGACATCAAGCCCCAAAAAAAAAGTCAGTTGAGTTGAACAAAAAAAAAGTTGTGTTATTATTTGATTTATTGGTTGACATACGGCATATATGGCATAATAACTATTGGCATATGCGAGCTCATAAAATTGTGTGAGGAAATGTACAGGACGAAAGTTGACACTCAAAACGATAGTAAAATGACTTTTATTTTAGTGTGGAAAAATTAATTGATTGTGAAATTGAAAAAAAAGCTTCAATTGGGAAGGACAATAAAAGAATTTAAATTGAAATATAATTCGAGATTTCCGGGTCATGCAAACGATGAAGCTCAGCATTTTTATTTGATGTTTAAAAATTCAGGAAGCTCATTTATTGAGACAATAGTAAAAATTTCAAAATGAACATTTGCAGCTTTATTTATTTAAATCACAATAAATTCTATTAATTCAATCAGCTCATTTAGTTGTCACAAAATCCAATAAATAATTTCAAAAAATTCAACAAGTTTTGACATGAAAATATTTTTCAATTTATTCGCTAAATCAACCTCAACCACCTCTCACAAAACACACCAGAAACTAGTAATCATCCAATGCACAAACATAAACGGATCAGTTTTAATATTGGTTTGAAAATTTTACTTCATTAATGCTCATGATAATGATGCTGCATATTTTCCAACCTGTTATTAAACCGGCGAGTGTTCATGAGCTTTTATGAGTAAATGTGTGGCTTTTAAGTTCATAAAATGAATTAATTACTAAAATCATTCGTGTTATAAAATTTTACGTTGTGTAAATATTTTCAGATTAGAGTAAAGCTTTGAAATGAATAATTTTCATAGTGATATTCTCTGTGCGATATGAAGTTCAGGTCAAAATCTAAAGCAACGACTTAGTTTTAAACATATTTCAAAGCAATGACTTATTTTCAGTTTTTTTTAAAGTAGCGACTGTATTTCAGTTAAATTCTAAACGACGACTTATTTTTAAACATATTTCAAAGCAATGGCTCAGTTTCAGTTTAATTATAAATCAACGACTTATTTTTAAACATATTTCAAAGCAATGACTCATTTCTGATCAAAGTCTGAAGCAACGACTTATTTTTAGACATATATCAAAGCAATGACTCATTTCTGATCAAAGTCTGAAGCACCGACTCAGTTTCAGTTAAATTGTAAAGCAACGACTCATATTTTAAAGCATCGCTTCATAATCATTGTCCCTCAATAAAAAATCAAATTGTTTTAATCATTTTAATTTAAAATTGCAGCTCGTAATATCCGCGATTTTCGCAACTCAATTCATATCGCAACTTTACATCACACATAGCAACATCCACGCCATATAAACCAACATTCCACTGTCACAGCTACTGTTTTTGTGTACACAAGTATGAAAGGTAAACTAATATCAGAGAGAGAGAATCTAATAAAGTTACTGTTTACACATTTTACATGTTGATATTTATTCAACTTCAAATAAGCCTCATTTTCATCAACATTAGATGTTATTTATATTATTATTACTCTCTATGACTCAATATTCTTCCCTTTTATGCTTGAAAATAGCTTTACAGAATGAGCTGGAAGGGGAGAAAAAAAATAGACAGAAATTTTCAGAATGCTGCCTAAAATAAATATTAAATTTATGTGTAACCAATATATATGTATAGATAGAAATTTTTTGATCATTCCATTCTAAACTGCTTTTTGTGATGATGTTGTTAATGAAATATTTTACAGAAGGATGAGATTATTTTTTTTTGAACTCATTTGACACTGGAAAATATTTTGTATGACAGGGTTTGGGAGGATTTATGATGTATTTAACTCAGTTTGTCTGCGATTTGTTTGAGAAATTCATTTTTAAAACCATTTGAACGACCTAATATAGTTTTTTAAAACAAAGCTCCAATCTAAGTAGCTTTTTAAAGTGCTGCTTCAATTTATGTAGCTTTTTAAAGCAATGCTTCAATTAAAGTAGCTTTTTAAAGTAATGCTTTAATTTAAAAAGCTTTCAATTGGTACGATTCAATTAATGAAGCTTTCAAATGCAACGCCTTAGTAAATAAATTTTTCTAAAGCAACACTTGAATTTTAAAATATTTCTAAAGCGGCGCCTCGATTAATAAACTTTCAAATTCAATGCTCCAATTTAGGAAGCTATCAAAAGCAACGATTTAATTTAGGAAGCTTTCGCAAGCAACGCCTCAATATAATAAAGCTTTTCTAAAGCAACGCCTCAGCTAATGAAGCTTTCTTAAGCAACGCATCAATTTTGAATGAGCTTTTTCTAACTCTAACCCCTGAAATCACAGCATTCCCTAACTTCTCTTTTATCCAACACCATCCTAATAATATTATGTCACACTACTATCCTATTATAGATTTTAAAGCAAAAGCAAAAATTTTGTCAGCACAAAAAAATGCTTGTGTGAATATCCTCAGCATTTTCACTCGTTTTTCAATCTACACATTTTAATTATGATTCAAAAGAGGATTGACTTTATGGTCGAGATGCCACATGAAAGGGAAAATTTCATCATAATAAAAAAAAAGCCTTTTTTTTGTTGCTCACATCAAGTTGAATGATGTGTCAGAGAATTTTTCTATTTAAAAAGAAATATTTTTTTGTAGATGTTTATGGATTTATGTTTTGTAGTTTGACATATGTTGGAATTTTATGATGAGTTTACAATCGGATCAGTGAGTATTCAAAGAATTTAATTAGCTTCAGACGACAAAAAGATGAAATTCAGTTATGAATAAAAAGTTTGCTTTTGAGGTGAATTAAATTTAACTTTTGAAGTTTTTTGTAAAGCTTTAAATATTTTCTTGAGGAAATTAAAGATGAATAAAGTCTCGAATTCATCGTTGCAAAAGAAAAATCACCTCACTTCCCCCTCAATAAGCTCCGGCTAATATCAACATCAGTTGCTTACTTTACCGCAATTTCAATTTATGAATTCAATTTTAATTTACTTAATAACATTTATTTAATCAGACAAATTGAAAAGCGAATGTTCCATTGAGCTGAATTCGTACGTACAGAATGTGTACATCTATGAGTGTGGATGTACGAAAACTATTTCTTCAATTGCAGGGTAATTTTGTTTGCTATATGCTTCTTCCCTTTAAATCTTTGCCTTCATTATATGGTGACGCCAGTGGGGAGGTTCTAGTCGAAAATCAATAAAGTTTTTCAATGCTTTCTTGCTTATGGCGTACTTAGAATCATTGTCAATCATGAATTTTTACTCTATTTTGCGATTAATTGGTATTTATTGACTTGATTATGCTTAACGAACTGGGCCTTGATTTTAAATGAAACAATTTCCATCAATATTGAACAGTGGCTTATCTTAGCCAGAGCGGATCTAATCTTGATGGCCCAATATGGGGGATCTGAACTGGATGATTTACTAACTCAATCTCATTTCTGAATAGCACACGTCAATTAATCGAATAAAAATCTGGCACCAAGCTATCGTAACTCTAGCATAATGCTGGATTTGATTTGAATCCAGCACCATTCCAGAGTCATGCAGGCTTGGTGCTGGATTTCTATTCTTCTATTCGATAACATAGAAGCCTCAACAGCAACTCCCCACCAGATCAATCCAAAAATATCGACAATCCCAAAGTAGTTGATTTCAATAAGAAGAAGAAAAAAATTCTCAATTCTTAAGTGAAATCGATATTAAAGAACATCCAATAGTACATTCATATAAAGAGTATATAGACATCTCATCTCATATTATAAGATGAATATATCGAATGATAATAAAACATTGGTCATAATGGGACTTTATGCTTGCTTTCTTGCTGTCTTACGAAATGAGTGAAGCATATACAGTAAAAATAGGAATTGGATATAAAGAGGGGCTGGTTGGAATGAGTTGAGCAGTTGAATGAATAATTTATCAAGATTTTGCCGTATATAAATGCATTCATTAAGAATGTATCTCATCGAATTGTCTCTCCATCTCACTTACTCATTCAGATCAAGAGTTTTTATAGTTGAAAGGGAGCTGCTTCTTGTACTTCTTTTTGTCAAGCTTGTATATACATACATGACCCTCTCATAAATATTTTATTGACGCAAATGATGAAATGCTCTTATTGGCGATGCCTTAATATATTCATACACATTATTGACAATGTACGATACTGAATATACACCAAAAAGTTTTTTTGGGAATGGAAAAAGACTTTATTTACTCTTTAGGTCAATCGATTCTCTTGACATTCTCTGATGGCTCTCGAGTTTCCTTTTTTATTGCAATATTTGTCACAATTTCATGAAATTCTTATGTCTATTGATTGTCATCTTATCTATCATATCATCTTGATTATTCTATGATATGGATAAATATGATAAACATTTATGAGGGAGGGGGTGTAGTTTTTGGATGAGAAATGGCAATTGAAGGATGAGTTTGAGTGTCATAAGCGCAGTATTTGGGATGCAGTGACTTTATTGTCCATTAAGGAACAGATTTAGACCTGAAACCTTCCCGAATGGCACAAATCGGGAAAAGCCAAATCAAGTCGGTGTGATTCTGGTATGGTGCTGGATTAAGATCAAAGCTAGCATCATGCCAGAGTCATCACGGCTTGCCTCCGAATTTCTATTCGATTGACTGACTTGTGCTATAAGAGCTTGACTGATTATACATAGTTAAGGCTATGCACTACTAGCTTTTCCAACTTAAATGAAATTTTGACTGACCCCAATCAAACCCACAATCCTAGATTATCAAAAAATGCTGTCAAATGACTCAACCAAAAATCTGTTTCCACTTTCTCCACCATAAAGATTTCCCACTCGACACACAAAAATGAAGCTATAAAAGGCTAAAGATAAACATTACAGTTGAAAAAGACAAACAATCAATTTGTGCCTTGTTATATGCCACTTCACATTGATATGATACTTCTCAAAAAAGAGATATACATATAAATACCATGTAAAAAGCCATATTGCCTCACTTTTGTGTATCTATAAGTATTCAATAGAAAATATCATGAGACATGAATAACATTTCCAAAAGTCTCTCACTCCCACATGTCAATATTTGTCACAATTTTCATTTTGTTAAATGGAAATCAGAATGATTCTCATCCTTACTGACTGAATAAGTCAATAGAATGGAAAGAGAAAAGAATTGTCGTTAAATTGATTGCATAAAATTTTAGTTTCTTGTGTCTTGATGCTGTTGGGGAGACAAGGAGACTTTTCTTGTACAATTGCCATGATGAATTGTTATTGTTACAGAAAGTATCATTGTCAGTCTGGCTGCTGCTTTATTGTCATTGCAAGTAAATGCTTTGGAACTTTTTATTGCAGTTTTGGATGCATATTGGTTAAGTTGTGGTGGTGTATGGACTGTTAAAGGTCAGATATGGCTGATTATTTTTAATTTGATAGCTTTTATTAGATTTGAAGTTGAATTGACGAATTTCATGAAATTTCGACTTGAAAGCTACAGTTTTTCTGAGATTTGAACATGAAGTAATGACTTTAGTAAAATTCTGAACCACAACCGTCGATTTAAATTGATTTTCTAGTGAAATAAATTTAAAATTCAATAATTTTCATTTTTTAAATATTTTATTAAAATTACAAATTTAACAATCAGTCTTAATTATTCCTTATAACTCATCACTCAAATTTTTATGAAAACAAAATTCAACAAACTCAAACCCTACAAAATTTACTTTTAGAGAATCGAGAATCTCCTTACAATTATGAACAATATAATTACAAACTTTGATGGTCTTCTCATCAGTGTCAATCAAAATCTTGAAGAATTTATGGTTCTTCGAGACAATTTCATCATCATCCATTTTGTAGTTGCGATTGAAGTTTCTTAAATGTCTGAACTTGAAGGTCTTCAAGTTTCTGAACATGTTCAAGTTCTTCACAATATAAATTAAGTCTGATGATTTCTTGATTCTCTTGATTGTAATGTGCTCAACATTTTGAACGTTGCTAGCAAATCTTCGCCAAAGATTCTCAAAGTAGATCCTTGAAACCTTTTGAATTGTCAAGTTTTTTAGATTAGGAAGTTCAAGGTTGATCAAGAATGTACAATTAAGGTGCTGAATATCCAGTGTTGCCAATTTATCAAAACGACCTACAGCTTCGTTGAATTTGACACATTTTAAGGTTTCTAAGTTTGGAAATCTTGAAAATACTTTTTGGGTATTGACTCCCAATTCAAACTTATCCTCATAAACTCTTACTGAATCTCGTCGGTAATGTTGATAAAAGTCTGAGAAGATCGGTGCTCCGTAATATGGATCAAGTGTCAGCTTCTTCAAATTCTTCAAATCTCCAAAGATGACATCAAAAACTTCCTGTCCTGGTGTGTACTCAAGATCTAGTTCCTCTAAACTTTCAGCTTGTGATTGAAGGAACTTCGTGTAGTTGAAGAATCCATAATTATTGTAGTAACTCAATCTGAAGCTTTTAAGTCTAAATTTCACTTCTGAGAAGATGTCGCGTACTGGAAAAGTGATGAAGCCACTGAATGATCTATTTGAAAGATTCAGTTCCTTTAACTTATTTTGTTGAACGACAAAGTCAGTCAGCAGGTCCTGATTTTGAGCGTCATCTCCATAAACAATCAATTTGTCTAAGTTTGTTACATTCTTTGTTCCTTCCATGAAGTCTTTCAAGTCGTTTTGATTAATTTTCAAATACTTCAACTTTGTCAGCGTTGCCAAATTTTCCTCAGTTGGAATATTGTCATCATCAGTACAGTATCGCCCGACAGCAAAGTCTAAAGAGTTGTAACTCAAACTCTCTAAATTTGGCATCTGATTAAGGATGAATTTAAGGTGTTTTCTGTCTTGACATCCAATGTCGAGGACTAAATGACGGATGAACTTTCCTCGTTGTTGGAGAAAATCAATAGCTTCATACCATTCGAAATCTAGCTTGACTAGAAACCTTTTCATTATTTCAGGTGTTGTGAAGATGAAATCACGAACTTCTTGGGATACAAGCATGCAGGATTTGATGTCGTTGGTATCGTCTAGGTATGACATGATGTTGGCGATTATTTCTGTTGGAATGGTGACTTGTTGGTCTGTGGTAATGTCGTTGTTCTGGATTTTCAGAAAGTTAAATATTTGGTCAATTTACTTGGACAGTTCTAGTGCTATCTTGGTTTATAGTCGTTAGATACACGCTATATTTGGTCAATACTTACATTTTCATCCTCAAGAATTGTTGAAATCTTGCGAATTTTGCTTATCATATTCATTTCAAAATCAGATTCTCTTGCTCTTTTAGACATGATGATAGTATTTTGAATTGTTTTAATTTGACTTTGTTAAAATGTTACCAAAAACTTTGATTTTTTTTTAAAAACCTTCTTTAAACTTTTATAATTTAACTTTTATAATTTAAATTTTATATTTAAACTTTAGTTTGCTTAATAGCTGGTAATGTTGACGATTAGATTGTCAAATTGATTATGATTATGTAACAATATGAGATTTCGTATTTATACAATTAAAATTTGAGATTTTTAAGAACCTATAAAAACTTTTTTAAAACTAAAGTAAGTCAACTGGTAGTTTATATGTTGCACAATAACAATTAATTAAAACGGTCTTAATTTTTATTTTCTATAGTGTCCAAATGTATTTTATAAGATTCAAAAACTATTTTGTTTTAAAGTCTCATTAAACAATGATTAGCTAAACATTAAAAGTGTGTTACATATCAGGGATCTTAAAAAAAGCCCCTATTCTTAATACCCCTCCCTGCCTCATTTTCGAAGCCATCCCTCATTTGAAGTCTTCTTCATCCTCTTAGAAAATTCCAAGCCTCTCTAACATTTCAACTTCCTCCAAGCATGCCCACAACCAACATTTGTTTTGGAGAACTTTACAATTGTCTACACAAAGCTTCAGCTCTAAAGTCAGTGAGTAATTAAATTGGTTGTTTATATAATAAAAGATAAAAAGATAATAATTAAAGCATTAAAAGTTATTTAAAAATTTTCTTGAATTTTAAACTCAAATTTATTAATTTCCATGAACGCTAAAAACTTTATTATCAAATCTCAACGAAGCTGACTTCGTAAAATGCAGTCAAATTATGACGAAACAAAAAGACTCATATGAATGTATGTAAAAAGTTTTAACTAGTGTAGCATCCCGTCAAGAATGATGGGCAAAATTTTGTTTTTAAATAAATAGATGTTTCTATTGGGATTATTTGATTAGTTTAAGTGGAGACTAACAAATTACTCTTAAAAGATCTTATAGCAAAGTATTTTGAAATTTAATAATTAAAAAATAATTTTTAAAAATTTCACAAAAGTTTTCAAGTGTCCAATTTAAAAACTCTTTTTAAATCTCTTCAAAGAAATTAAAAAAAAAATTAAACATTTTTTATGAGTGTTTAGTAAGTTTAATTTAATTCAATTCTTATCAGAAATGTTTTTAAACTTCATTCCATTAAAAAAAATGAACCATCTGTCTCTTATTTACAAGCTAGATTTCTTATCAATGAATTTTTAAGCGTAAACAAAATTATTTCGATTCTTCTGTCTTTTTGAGAGCATTCATTGAAGAGACGTCTTAAAGGCAAGTCACTTTTTGATAAAGTGAAAATTATTTGCATTTAATTTCTAAAAAATTAAAATTCGCAAAATGTGTTCAAACAATCCCGAAAATTTGTGCAAAACGGCATCAATTTTAACAACATTTTTCTACTTTTTGGCATTCCTGACACCATGTATACATCAAGCAATAGCTGACAAATTTCCAGTAATTGAAGGCACATGTGTCTTCAGTTATGTAGAAAATTTAGGCTACACATGCCATCTTCACAATACAACCATCTCTAATCCAACTGACGTGCTAGAAATTGTTGGAAATCACTTAGAAAACCACACAGATGCAGATGTCCAAAGTGTCAGAACCTTGGGTAGCGACATTCGACACTTTAATGGAGAAATTCTAAGAAAATTCAAAAATTTGAAGAATTTCAATTTATTCAGTTCAAATTTGCTGACAATCAACACAAATGCATTCGAATTTTGTCCTCAATTGAAACAGCTTAATATTTTGAGCTACAAACTCACAGAACTTCCAAATCAGATGCTAAAAAATTGTGAGAATTTAAAATCAATAATTTTCAACTTCGAATTATTGCGAGAAATTCCAGAAGATCTTTTTGGATCGACGAAAAATTTGGAAGATTTTTACGTTCAAGGAAAAGGCTTGACAACAGTGCCTGAAAAGCTGATGTGGAATATGCACAAATTAAAGGGTTTTGACGTGTCGCTTAATCCAATTCAACAACTGAGTCGCTATTTGCTGATGTATGCTGAAAATTTGGAAAGTTTTGGAGTTACTCTAGAAAATTTCAATGACCAACAAACACTTGTTGATGTCCTCAATGTTCATTCAAATTTAAAGCGATTGTATCTTCGTAGCAGCAAATTTAAAATCTTCAAATTTGATTTTTTGTCAAACTTTCAAAAGCTTGAAACTTTGTACATTTCATCGTGGAATTATAATTTGACTCAAATTCCATGGAAGTTACTTCCAAGTTCATTAACTGACTTAGAACTTTTCAAAATTGGTGAAGAAATTCCTGAGGATGCATTCAGTCATCTTGTGAATTTAAAATCTCTAGAATTGTCTGGTTTGGGGATTGAGAACCTCCACAAAGACACATTTAAGCCACTGTCAAATTTAGAGGAGCTTGAAGTCACAGAAACTAGCATAAAAACCCTCCATCCTGAATTATTCATCAACCAAGGCAATCTCAGCAACTTAAGACTCACCAGTAACAAAATTGAAGAACTTCCTACTGGAATATTCGCCCCACTTGTTAATATTGGAATTAAGCATGAAGTTCATGGCATTATATTGTGGTACAATAAAATTCAACGACTTAATGCCAATGCTTTTGGTCAACATCCACATCTATGGTATATTCAGTTCTCGTCGAATCAAATTAATGAAATTGAGAGAGGAATTTTTGGAAAATTCCATTCAAATTTGAAGTGTGCTGATTTTAGTTCCAATAAGTGCATTGATGAAACTTTCGATAATGCGACTGATTTGGATGGAAATGAGAGTTTTAGATTGTGCTTTGAGAATTGGGAAGAAACGGCAAAAACTACAACAACAGAAGAGGTTCCAATGATAGCAACAACACATGACGGATGTGGATATAATTTTAGGAAATTTGAGATTTTTTTGTTAATTTTTGGTGGAGTTTTAGTAAATTTTAACAATTAATTTCTTAATATTTTTCACATTTTAAAATAACTTCAGACATAACTATGCCTCTTGTCAAACCTATCAATAAAACTTCCCAAATGTGATTTATCCAAACTTATCATTACGATTTTTAATTCGTATTCCAAATTAAATTACCAAAAATACCCTCAATCATACCAATTAACCTCTTTGAACGTTCAATAAAATTAGTTATCACAAAAAAATGTTCATTCAAAATCTTCACATCGATTCTGCTCTAGAGTCAGTGAGTGATTGAATTGGATGTTTATATACTAAATGATAAAAAGATAATTAAAGAATCAAAAGTTATTTAAAAATTTCTTGAACCTTTAATTTATTAATTTCCTAAAACTTCTCCTTTTAAGAATCTGAAATTGCATTTATGATACATAAATCAAAGATTACTTCCTGCTCATATAATTACTTTCTTCTTGCTAATCACACGAAATTTTTCTTTAATTTTCCTGACCTACAAAAACTTTTTCATTCTTAAGTTTTGTTATTTGAAATAGAAAATTCTGGAAAGTAAGTTTTGGGAACTTAAAAATAAAGCGCATCTAGAGCATGCAATTACTAAAATCCTCCATTAACCTAATGTTTAACTAAGCCAGTAAACTATAACTTAGTCCATAAAGCTATGACCCCAAAAAATCCGCACATTTCCTCCAAAAAATTTCTTCATTTTCAACTTCAAACGCTAATTTCCTCATATCGCAAAAGAAATTATAAGCCAACAAGTACCTTCCACTTTACCAGCCATTAAATTCATACTCAGCATATTTAATATTCCACAATGTACATATTTATTATGCTTATTTGACTTAAAAAAAATTTCTTCTTTCTCATTCGTTTGCAAGGAAATTACCCCTCCAGACTTCAAAGTAGATATTACCTTTTACACGGCATATAGATAGCAGTGAATAACATAGATCATGTCAGGTTTAAAGTGTGTATGTTCAGCATAAAGTGCTTTTTTGCTGTACACTGAGAGGGAAAATTTTGTATTTTTGTTGAATTTGAGGATGAGTATCAATAATGCAGAATATTATTACAATTAAGTGAACATATTGTTAGAGTATTAGACACTCGGTCATGAGGTGTAGCTGATAAAATTTACAGCAACTCAACCCCTGTTCTAAACTTCTTTAACTACACTATTATCTTGATCCAACATAAAGCCTGGACATTGAAGAACCTAGATTACAAACCGCATCTGAATAAGGATGATCAGTTCCGAACTCTTGCTTCTAAGCTATAAGGAGAGATGGGTGGTGTGAAAGATCTCGTTTTTTGATAAACTTCATGAGTCATGAATCGACCTTAACATCTTAACACCAAGGAATTACGTAGGTTGGTCAACACTCTATGACCACTCGCGTTTATTCGCTGCTGCCAAGGGTCTATAAAACTTACTTACTTCCTTGGCTGGGGCACAAGTGGGCCCATTGCCCCGTTCAGAGATCGTCTAAAGACAGCTCTATCCTTCGAGACCTTCTGCCAGTTCAGGATATTTAGGACTCTAGCGTCCTTATCAACACATCCAATCCAGAAGGATCTATAATAAATCAATAAAAATAATCAAATATCAAATATTAATTTATAAAAAAAGTTTTAGGGCCTTAGGGATCGTTTACTTATGACGTCCGAAATTAACGGTCATATTTCAAAAAAGAACAATGGATTTCCAGGAATTTCTATTGTTCATTTCTTGCTGAACCCCCCCCCCCCCCTTGGACGTCATAAGTGAACGGCCCCTTACGTATATTTATTACATCGAAAATAATCAGAGTATTCATCAAGAATGCGGAACTAGTAAACTACTTTTTGATCATTTTTGCATCATTTTTTTATCATTTCATCAGTTCCTCACCCTTGGTCTGTCTCATCAATTCCTTGTAAGATAAACCAAACTTTAACTTAAGTGTAAAATCATTAAATGAATGAGATTCAAGTTAAATGTGTCGTGGTCTAAACAGCACCACTTCCATAAAGCCACAATAAAACAATTTCATCCTCTGAGTGTAGATGAGTCAAAAATTAACTACTCAACTCAATGAATAAAGAAAGCCAATAAAAACTAACATATTGAAAAATCCAAAAGGTTGAATCCTTTAGAGTCAAAAGTGAACTTTACATCTCAACCATTAAAAACGTTAAAAAGAAGGGAGGAATAAAAAAAACTTTTTTTTTTCAAATTCCCGAACAGAGCAAAAACTTTTCTTCCATTCTTTCAATTTCAACAAGCTGTAAAACTTTTTCATGAGCTTGATTGAGCGTGGAGAAGTTGAAGCATTTAAAAAAAATTTTCATCATCGTCGACAAGACAGCTCCGTGAATGAGGAAAAGGAAAGAAACTTCTTTTGACTTCTCAGCAAACTCGATTATATAGTCAAAGCTTACAATTTTTTATAACATGATAATTTTCAACTTGCCAGTCAATTAAACTTGCTACCCCACGTCTCCTCATTATTCCTTCTTTTTTTTCTCCTTCCTATTTCTTATTTCTTATTTTTTGTGTGTGCGAATATATGTTAAGTACAAATATAGGTAAATGTGAAGTGGAAAAGGAAATTTAACTTCATTTACCACGTTGATTTTATGTGCTGTTGTTGTTTTAATGTGTTAAATGTTAAATCGATGAAAATCATGGCAAACAGGGAAGTTAGTAAAGTACTGCTTATTAAGTTAAGATTGTCAGAAACAGCATATGGAGTAAGATTATTGTGTAACAAAAGTTTAAGAATCTGCAACATTTGGTCAAGACATTGTAGTAGTTTGTGAATAGTTTCAGCTTTTGGAGTAAGTTTACAATAAAATTAGAACAGCTGCAACTAGCTACAATAAGCATGTCAATCTATAAAATCATTTATGTATCGAGGCTATTGGTCCCAACTACCAATACTCATCTTCACCTGTACCCAATTTTTTAAAAGAATCCTGAATCCTTCAAATGCTTTAAATCTTGAATTGACGAAATTCTTAATGACTAGGCTGTCGATCGCTTTTTATTAAAAAAGCTGGTCATGTCCCGATTTAAGTTTAAAAAAAGTGGTACAGATGAATGTTCAAAAAAGTTTCTGTCCTGCTTTAAAGTGCGCAGCTGGTCAGCCTATTAACCCGAATAGCACAAGTCGGCTAACCAAATAGAATCCTAATCAAATTAACCGACGTGTGCCATTCAGATAATGACAATCTTTAACAAAGTTAAAATTGCCTAAAAAACGTCGAATAAATGAGAATAATCTTGAAGTTGATTAAGTGGAGATAAGGAAGACTACATGAACTTTAAGTCGACTCAAATCGAGTCAAAAAACATCCAGTGTCTAGGTTCTCAACACACTGTCTATTTAACCAGCTTGTTTCCAACATCTGAATTGTGCCTTTCCAAATACTAAACTGCAAATCAATCTAAATCGACAAACTGAAGCATTCTTCACCCCATTTTACTCTCAAATCATATCCACTCAATAATAAGTGTGCTTAAAGGGGGAAAAAAAATCCAAAGTTAAGAGAGCAAAAAAAATTGACTCACTAAAGTCACGGAATGCCACAAAAAAAGGTTTTCAAGATTTTCATCAAATTAATCCAAACAAAACATTTCATTTTTTCAGTCTACAACAAGACGGGAGTCAGTCAATTTTTTTTCAGCCCCATCCACAATTTTTTACAGCTAGCTCTATGTGTGTGTATATTATTCTAATTCGTTATACAAATGAAGGGTGAATTATGATTGAAGGCAGCTGAAAATGAGAAAATGAAGAAGGAAATAATTTTTTTTCCAGACCGTGGATTTCATTCTTTTTTTTTGAGATATATAAAAAAAGAAAGCATAAGCTTGTCTTGTCTTGTCTTAAATTACAACAATTTAAAGTTTCATCTGTGCGAGCCTTTGCCTTCGTCTTCATTCATTGCCGCTGCAATGTTGAGGTTTTCTCATTAAATTTTATTTCTTCTTCTTTTTTAGCTGGCTTGGTTATGAGATGAAATATACGACTTGCTACTACACACATATACTCACTTACTTACCATGAAAATGTGATGGAATTAGACAAGAAGACTAAAAAAGAAGATTTTTTTTTTTCATTAAAGTTTCTTTTGTTATTGTGAGCGTGGTTAATGTGAGAGGAAGTGTAGTGAAGCTCTTTTTCAGAAACAACTTAGGCTGGCACATGATAGTTCAAGCTCGTGGTTACCATTTAGCTTTCTGTGCTCAGAAAATGGACTTTAAATCAGGGGCTTAGCCAGAAATGGCAGCAAAGAAATTTAGGAGGCGGGGTTGGATTTTTAAGGAAGTTTTCATAAAAACCCTAGCAAAATGAAGGAATTTCTGTGGACGCAGGGAAATTTGTTGCCTGAAACCCCCCCACCCCTTGGTTACGAGCCTGCCATAAATCCTGATTCACTCAAGAGATACCAAAAATTATCATTATCTTCATGGAACCTTATCAAATCCATACCCTGACCTAAAAATTGATAAGACAAAAATATTCAGTCTATCCAAGAAATCAGTTCAGTTTTAAAATCTGTCACGAGTCGAGCAAAAATGAAGATTTTTGTGATAATTTTTACTTTACTTAATTTACAGTCAATTTATGCACAATTCGATGAGTATTTAGACTGTAGCTTTAGATTTGATTACCAATCAAGATACCTCGTACATTTGAAGCTTAGTAATCCATACGGTCGGAATGATTTTAATGAAATAAATGGGACACATTTGGATGGATTTAGTGATGACGATGTTCAAGTTATTGACAATGGAAAATATTCATTTTCTAAAAATATTCCATCAATTTTATGCAGTCAGTTCAAAAATACTCAAGAAATCAACTATCTAGGAATGTTGGTACAGAATGTTAATCAAGATGCATTCACAGATTGTGTGCATTTACTTAAATTGACGATCATGGACGGTCAATTCACGGAGTTACCTGAAAATTTGTTTTTCACTAATATTGAGCTACAATATATAGCTATAGTGTCGTTTAAGCTAGCTTCATTACCTCAAAATATTTTCATTAATCAACAATTTTTAGAAATCTTGAACTTGGGCTACAACCAGATCTCAGACATGCCAGAAAATATCTTCAAATCACTAAGGAAGTTGCGACAGTTATATCTTTCTGGCAATAAATTCACCGACTTAAAGGTTGAATGGTTTGAGTCACTAGAAAATTTAGAATCTTTGTTCCTTGACAACAATGAAATCCAAGACCTTCCAGTCAATGCTTTTAAACATCTCACAAGTCTAATAGAAGTGCATTTACACAAAAACAGACTTAAAGTCGTCTACTCAGATTCCTTTAATACTCTAATCAGATTAAAGACAATCAGGCTCGATGAAAATGAAATAATAGCTGTGGATAAGAAGCTAATTGATAATACACGTGTAAATTCCATTGATATGACGATGAACTTCTGTGCTGATAAGATTATTGCTGATAATACGGTGATGCGACTGACGATGAAAATGGAATTGGCGCAATGTTTTAAACATTTTGAGAATTTAATTGAAGGTGAGATTTATTTTAATTATCTTCATAATAGTGGTTCTAAAACTATGTTCTCCGGCACATTAGTGTCAAATAGGTCATGAAAATCATTTAATGGGCAGCAAGGCTATTCAGGTGTGGAGCGAAACTATTTTTGTAAAAATGTGCTGAGGACCAAAAAAGTTTGAGAAACACTGATTTGCATAAAGTCCGAACTGGAAAAAAATTGGCTGATTCAGTGTGTTGTAGGGGAATTTTTAATAATTTGGAAGAGGGGACACAAATGTTTTTTTGTGTATTGAAAAATTTGAGGAGGGGGGGGGGGGTATTTTTATGATTTTTGAAAACCCTTGCAAAATTAAATACGGGGATTTGTCACTTAAACCCTGGCTCCGCGCTTGGTGAGTAGCACGACAAAAAGTTTGAGAAACACTACTTTAGGTTACAGTGAGTCAAGATTTAATACACTTTAGCAGAATTCTATAAAGTCTTTATTTTGAATTGGCAGCAAACGGACCCATTCATATTTGATCATTTAATTTCAGAGTATTGATGTGGAGCATACAGAAGGAACCTAGGCTTAAGGCAACATACTAAACCGTTAAATAACTTTTTATGTAACATCAAACTTTAAGTTTGCATCAATTTAATAAAATAAAGTTATACAATATCAATATGTAGTTCCACGCTAATTCATCCTTACCCTCAAACTATTCTAATCTTAAAAAATCTTTTCCTTGAACCTCCTCGCAACATCACTTCCACCCCTCCTCACCATCGACACGTATCAAAAAAGAAACAGAAACTAGAGCAAGATTTTCCCTTTAACTTTCAAATTTGTTTCTAAAACACCACAAACAGCACAGCACACACAAAAAAAAATAATAATAGAGAAATAAAAGAAGTAAAATAAGAAGAAAAATGAAAATGAAGAGAAAGTAAGCATGCAGTTGGTCTTATCTGAATGGATGTAGAGGCACAAAACGTAAGCAAGGTGTAAATTATGTGTTGTTTCTTTAATCAGACGCTTCTGGCATTTTCATACACGTGAAAAATATTTTTGCCTTTCCGGTTGATGCCGTGGCATAAAAATTAATGACATGATGCGGTCGCTTCCACAAAATTTCTTGAAGCATTCTTGTCTCTACAGAAAAACTTTAAAGTTCTTCTTCTTTTCACACATTACGGAGAATAAAAAGCAGTAAACAAAAAAAAATCATCGCTATTGTCACACTGTGCTAGATGCATGCATAGAGATATGTACAGTTTCAAGATAGCGACACCATGAGATAATAAAAATAGGAGAAGATTCTCAAATAGAGACTGTAAGGAGGAAGTGAATAAATTTCCTGCAATGCAATTGAAATAGAGCAGTGAATATCTTTTCATATACTATTGTGGCTTCTCACACTCATGTGGCACTTTTTCGTTGTATTAGGGGTTCTAATCGTATGCAGGATGGTATGCTGTGGATGACTTTTTGGCGAATGTGTTCAAGATAGTGCACTGGATATGACTTTCAAAAACCTGTGTTGAAAATGGTGCACAGCACACGAATTTTGGCATCACTTCTTCAAAATAACGTGCAGCACACGACTATTACTATCAGTAACTGAATACAACAAACGATACACGATTTATAACATCCGCAACTACTTCATTTGATCCAGAACACCCAAAAAAAAAAGATTCCCGACACAAACCCCAAATCTCACCATGCATGCTTGCAACTACGAAATATTTACATATGCAGCATATAAATCATATTGTTTAATGCTATGCAGATTCTTTTCTATTTGGACATTCAGACGCCAAATTGACTGAAAATATTTTATTCTTATTTGTTTCTTCAATAAACATCTTTCAATTACTTACTGTGAGTGAGAAAAGAACTTGAAACTTTCTTTTAAGCTCAATTGAATTTTTTTTTTCTGTGCTTTCATATTTTTTTCTTGAACAGTTTTATTTCCTCTTTGAGTGATAAAGAGAGAGGAATGGCTATTTTGCATAAGTTATTTGATGATTGAAGTTTTGTAATAAGTATTGGAAATGTAAATAACTTTGATTCAAGGCGTGGAAACTATCCCACATATCCCAAAAATATTCAAAATAATCCCTGAGCATGTATGCACGATAATAAAGATATCCCAAAGTATCCTTAGTGTATTGGACGTGTAATTTAGGGATATGATGGGATATCTCAATTCTAATGCATACAGACTCAGGGATTATTTTGAATATTTTTGGGATATATGGGATAAATGGGATATTTGGGATAGTTTCCACGCCTTGCTTTGATTGCTGTAAAGGGTTCGATAAATGTTTTTTGTTGATTTTGTGACTGTTCATGTGTTAAGTTTGAAGCTAGTGATTTCAATGATTAAGCTATGTCTGTTTATTAATGAAGATTGAAGCTGTCAAGATGTAATTAACTTATTGAGCCTCGCACGATGTGTGAGAACCAAAGCTGTTAAGGACAAAATTAAACATGGTATCTGTAAAACAAGCAAAAGTGCTTTAATAACTCAATTGGCAAGGTACAGGTCACAAAATATGATGTTGAATTTGGGCTCTCGGCTTCAAATCCCACCACCAGTTTAGTGATTTTTCAGAAGTTTCGATACTTCGGCTTCTTAGGTGCAGCAGTTTAAGACATAAAACTATGATTAGAAATATTAAAAGCTTGCTTATAGTATTAAGGCAGTAAGTAAATAATATTAAGTTACGAAAATCGTTTCAAAAAAGGCATCGTCTATCTTAAAATGATTAAAAGTGCTGATATAACTCGGAACATATGAAAAAGTATGCATAAAATTTTAAATCGTATTTAAACAATATTTAAAGTGCTTACATGATCATAATGATGATGAGCGAAACACTAAAGTTTCCTAATTTAATTAAAATTTCTTGCTTCAACTGCATCCCGATCAATATAAGGCACTTCAAAAATGTAATTTTTTCCTTACTTAGCTATGTACCTGGGATTCAAGATAATGATTCTTTGTTTAAAGGCTTAATGCCTTCATTTAATCATACACATCTCGGATCCTTACTGCTTACATCATCCAAAATCCTCACACATTATTCATTATAATAAATTTCCATGAATAAGCTTAACAAACTTACTTTTATTTAAAAAGTAAACTGAATAAATGAAGAAATTAACGAACAAAAGGAAGTTTATTACTTTCTCTCCCAGCACATACGATACAGTGTGTATCTTGCTTATATATGCTGACTTTATGACTTTATGGAGTAGCATAATTTTTCATGTACACATGTTTGATGGAAAAATTAATAAAATTAAACATTTTCAGCATCATGATACTCAAGTCCTTTATTATGTATGTCAATCTTTTATTCAGCTTATGAAGTTATTTTAAATTTAATTTCGTTACTTTTGCTGCTGCTGATTTTGTTATGGAAATCTTTTTTTTTATTTTTGTGTCGTATGCGGATGGATTTTTTGAGGGTAGCAAAAATTTTTCATGTGAAGAATTTCATGTCATTGGATATGCATGGATGCTGTCCAAAATTAAGACTGGCTGTGATGAAGAAATGGGAACTGAATGGAGAGAAGCAAGCAATGGATTAGAATAAAACTTAATTTGATGGTCTGTCTGGACTAATGGAAGCTGGAGTTAAGTGTTTAAGGTAATTGGACTAAAATTGGTTTAACTTTGCTGAATTTCGAACTTGGACAAGCTGTGCATTTTCTAGAATAATTTAAAACCGAAGAATTTCTCAATTTTGACACCAAGTCACTTATTCTGATTGTTGTAAACTTAGCGTAACCAACCCTTGCAATGAATCCTCAAAAATACAAAATATCTTCCAAAAGAAAAATTCTCAACTCCACTGGACCAAATCAGCATCATTGTCAAAAAAGAAAGCGCAATAAGTAAGGCACAAAAAGAAAAAAGTGTTGACAAAGTTGTGAAGCATGATTTCCTATTTCCTGTTTCCGGCTTCTCACATTTGACAAAAAAAAAATCTTTATTTCTCTCATTCACAGCCTTTTTTTTAGAAAATAAAAATTGAGAATCTTGTATTGTTCTTCTTATAGCTACTAAGTTGGCATGAATTTCTGGTTCCAATTGAGAATTGTTTTGTTAACTTTTTTCTGCGTCGTGGGTTTTTTGGAGAATGTGATGGGGGAATTTAAAATTAATGTAGATTATTGTAGATATGGCTCAAAGAGCATATCTGTAGTTGATAAGCCTGAACTTAGGGCTCGCGTTGATTTGGTTATATGTGTATAACGGATAGCCGAAATGTGATAAGTATCTTGGTGACCGAGTGGTAGGGATCCCTGATCGAGTGGCCAGAGATCGCCTCTTTTAAGGTCGTGTGTTTGATTCCCATCGAGCGTAGCTATTTTTGATTCGGAAACCCACTCAATATTTCAGAAATGTCTTTAAAGATTGAACAAAAATTGGAGTTTTATTTCAAAATTCAAAAACATTTAACTACAGTAAACAGCCACAGCACCTTGATAAATTCCATCAATTCACCTTTGAATCGCCAGCAATCTCCTTGATTTCCAAACTTCAAACTTATTCTTTTAAGCTGAAAAATCAATTTCCTGTAACTTTTTAAAATGATCAAAAGTTTACACCTTTGTGACTTTGTGTACATTACAACTATCAGTCTCACAAATCTTAATCAACAACTTTATCTTCCAATTTTTTTTCTTGCTTCTTGGCATGTGCATGTTATTCATTCACATCACACGTTTCAAAAATTTCACATAATTAAATTTAGTCGAGGGAATAGAAAGGATAAACTTTCGTCTTAGTTTAATAACTCAAATAAAAAGTAGAGTAATGGGAATGTCTCATTTTCGTTTTATTTCAGACGAGTGCAGACGTTTTCATTAAATGACATTTTTTGAAGATCCAGAGGAGTTCTCGAAGAGGCATTTCGTGTAGAAATTCAATGGTTCCTTTGCAAAACTGTGCTGCTAGAGCATGGCTTAGAAGCAATTTGAAACTTATATTCAGAGAACCAAGAGCTAGTCAAACCCAACCAAATAGAAACTGCTGGAACACAAGCAAGTCAGACTCTTCAACAAGGCATTTTTTGGATCTTAATTGAGTCAAACCAGCTAACGAGATGACTAGTATGATCCAAAGTAATCGAAAACAGTTTTTAAAACTGAATAGAGTCAAATTGACCGATCGAATCCAATTATAGATAGATAAACAGGGTCATACTTCCGAAAAAAAACCACTTAAGTATAAAAAGGTTCAAAAAATTGCCTTAAAATCGAACCCAATCCATAATGAATGACTTCTGAGATTCATTTCTAAAAAATCATTCCTTAAACATCGACAGCACCAAAAGTACATCCAACCCTCCCCAAAGAACAAAAACTCAACTCAACAAACACAAGAAAAAGACAATGAAAAAGTTTTCCAATAAAACACCAACTTTTTTTTTCATCTTATTTATCTTTCATGGCAATGATACATAAAAAGTGGCAGCATATTTGACACATAACCGTGTGCCATCCACTAACCACATCCTGACCATCCAGAATGTCTTGAAGGAAGATGAAAATTGGCAAATGTGTGACGTGTCGTGTAGAATAAAAATGAAATAATCGACATCGAAGATGATAATCCTCAGCAATTAGTGTCAAATTGATTTTCACTCGAATTCATTTAAAATGGCAGGGAAAAGATTTTTGTCAGTGGATGAAGTGCATTTTTACAAATATCAACCCCCCCCCCCCCTCTCCGCTTCCTACTTCATTGTATCTAATTCTATTATATTGTGGGCTGACAGACTGAAAAACTGAAAAACTGACAGACTGACAGACTCACAGCATCACGTACTCACAGATGCACAATTTTTCAGACTGATAAACATTTGAACTATCGAACAGACATACAGTCAAACCACTGACAACAGCAACTTTACCAAAAACAAATTACGCTAAAAATGACACGGAAAAGCAATAAGGAGGATGAACTAGTAAAGTTGTAGACGAAAATAAATCTTGCATGTTCCTTTTCCTCAATTTTTTTTTTCTATAACCTCAAAGAATAAGCAACGCAAGCAGTAGCAGCATCAACAGCATATTAGATGTAGCATGTTCTATTCAACCACAATCATACACACATACATAGAATATTACAATGGAATATAAATGGTTTTTATTAAAGCAATAAATCATATTTTGTTCAGCCAATGAATAGTGGTGGAAGGTGTTGGATGGATGGGGGGGGAAAATAAAGAAATTTTTTGGGGCCAGTCATGGCATTCAATTTTTACTTCAAATGTAATTTACTTTCTCACACCTTTGCTCTGATTTTTCTTTCAGTTTTGTATCTTGTGTTGTATCTTTTGTGTACACAAAATGTTCTTCCTGTTTGTTCATATGGTAAAGGGTAAAGTTTTAGGTAAGTTTTTGTTGTAGTGGAAATAGTTTTGATACTTTTTTAAAGAGTTGATAATAGTTTAGGAACTTGGATGTTTATTTTTTGTTAACTTATAATTATCAAGGAATTCAATCATGTTTTCAAACCCGAAGATTTAGAACTGATCATTTTGATTAGTTGATTGGTACTCGGTTTTTGATTTTCCAATGAACGGCTTCAATAACCCCTCCGAACTTTACCTTCTCTTAAAAGTCTTTTAAGATCATCAATCAGTCATATTGGCTGTGTTCATCAGAGGAAGGGGATGGGGTGAGAAGAATGGTTCCCTTTCTCTTGCTCTACCCGACTCTTCATCCAAAGTTGGATTCTCTTATGAAAGAGAATCTATTGAAGACTATGGATTATTTTAATTTTTGATGTCGGGACTCTATTGAAGCCTGTAAACTGTGCTGACCATTTTTGAACTTGATGGAACTTGACCCATGTCCTTAGTGCTGATTTTCCAGTGGAATGTTGAACAAATAACATCACATATCTAGGAAAATCTGTCAGCTTAGGATCATGGCCTTTGGAGCTGATTAGCTAGACAACATACCAAAAATAAGCCAGCTTAAGATCAGGGTCTTTGGAGCTGATTAGCTAGACAACATACCAAAAATCCACTTTCCAAAGGTTCGAGTCCCACTCATTAGAAATTAGATTCCTCTACATTAAGTCATAGATATGATCACTGTCCTGTTATTAATTCAAAAAAAAAAGTCATTACTTAATATCCTCTACCCTTTACTTCTGGCAGACCACTCGACAATTTTAACTAGACTTACTTCCAAAAAAAAAAGTATCTCACACAAAACCATAAATAAAATTTTTCTCACAATAAACTACAAAGATTCATGACAAAAAATGCAAATATTCAAAAACGAGCAGCATAATCGTCTCCACATGTTGTGAATAAATGGGTGTTCTGATAATAAAGAATATCCTCATTCCATTAAATAATATTATTTATTTTAAGGGAGATGGAGAGAGAGAGAACGAGAGATAAACAAATGAATTCATAAACTGTAATTTCCCTCCGACAATGAAATAAATGAACATAATACGGAAATAAGGCATTATCGATAACGAGCATCAAATGAAAAAAAGAATGGATGTCAGGCTGTAGCAACAACGAAAAAAAAAAATTGGCACAAAGTAGAGTGAGATGGAGATGGAGATGATAAATCATTCACCGCATCTAACAATGGCAGGCAGGCAGTCACATATGCTCTTTTCATCATCAAATGATTTTTCATTATCATTTTGATTAGAGTAAGGAGAATCAACAAAAGAAATGCACAGAGGATGGGTTAGGAGTTTATTATGAATGAATGAGGAAAAATGAATCAATTTTGCGTAATTGCTTGCATCACGGAAATATAATTTTTGCGTTTATGAGAGAAATGTTTTTGGGGAAATGGATGATTGAAGATGTAAGCTTGGAGGAACTTGAAGTTTTGTAGTTCAGAGGTGTAGCTTTAGACTAGTTGTTCGTTAAACTCTGAAGTAGAGAATTCCTTGGAGTGTTCAGGAGCAAGCTAAGGTTTTCTTATTGTTTATCTGATGTTGTATCTAAAATCATATCCTAAGCTACATCTTAGAATAAGCACTACCTAGACATTGCTTAAATTTCAAACAAAGAAAGCTTTATCATCTGACTAGGGTTCTCTAAGGTTCACCAAAGCCTAATCGACTCCGAGCATCATAAGCATTAGTAGTTCACATGTTCTCGTTCACTGTTCCCGACTCAAAAACACCAAACGACTATAAACTTTTCAAAAACAATTTTATCATCACGGTCATGTCCATATCAGATAATTCATCGGATTAATTTAATTAGATTTTTATCTTGAAAATTTCCAATACCCAAAAGTCTTTTACTGATAAAAAAGTTAACGTCAAAAATTTTAATTCTTTATTTTGAAGTCCATTTAGTTGAGTTTCAAGCTTCAGTGAAAAATGTTTGTTAAAATTTTGTCGCTTATCTTGGTTGCTACCGCTGTTAATGGAGTTGGTATGTTTAATTTTGGGATTTTTTTGGCTTTTAAACCAGGTCAAAGTTTAAAAGCTATTACGAACTACATGATAAATTAAGACCAGAGTTGTTAAGTTACTTTTTGATCAGCTTCATAAATCAGGTGTTTGCCAGTAAACTCTGGGAAGTTGCCGCTGCTTTTGTCAATTTTCAATTGAATTCGCTTCCTTTATTTATAGCCATTGATCCCTTTATTATCGGAGGCACACCAGCACAACTAGGTCAAGTGCCATTTCAAGCATCCCTTCGTGCCTGGGGCACAACGTTTCACTTTGCTGGAGGAGCTTTAATTAGCAATCGATGGATTCTTACTGTTGCACACAAGGTTTCAGGACGTGCTGATAATTCGATTGAAATCGTTTTCGGGGCTGTATTGCTTACAGCTAGTGGAACAAGCAGACGAAGTGACAGAATTTTCACCCATCCTGAATTCAGCTTTGAGACAATGGCTAATGAGTGAGTATCAATGTTATCCAAGAGTATAATATGAGCAGTGTTGTTGTCCAATCAGGTCAAATTGTCACATCTTGAACTTCTTTACTCAATTTTCAGTATCGCATGCGTCAGAACAGGAACTTCAGTGCCACTTGGACAAACTATTCAACCTATTTTTATGCTCGGTTCTGTAGTAACGGATGTTGGACTTACATCTCAGGTAAGATATCCTTTTAACTTTATATTTGATAAGGGGTTGTTCAAAAATGATGTCAATCAAAAAATCATATTTTTTGACTCCCTTCTTCTCATTGTCATAAAATATTCATGCATGAATTGTTTTGTATGTGTCAATAGTCGACACCAAAATTCCTCCCTAAGAAATATGACATCATTTATGAACGACCCCATAGTGTAACTTGAAACTTCTCCTCTTAGGTCAGCGGCTTTGGTGCAACAGACCCCAACAAAGGTGAAAATGCTGACACTCTTATGGTCTTGACTGTCCAAACAACATCAAATGCTATTTGCATGCATGCTCATGGTGCCTCAAGAATCACTGATGGTCACATTTGCACAATTGGCTTCCAATCAAACACTGGATTCTGTACAACAGATGTCGGTTCTCCTTTGATTCATAATGCAAATCTTATTGGTATTGCTTCATGGCATCCACTTCCATGCGGTCTTGATGGATATCCAGTGAGTTTTCGAAAATGTTTGATTAAATTTTTAATAATATTTTAATCATCAATTTTAGGACGTCTATTCGAGAATTTCGATGTATCGTAGCTGGATTGCTGAAATAACCGGCGTGTAAATTTATTTTGAGAATATTTAATTTCCATTAAGAAATATTCCCGCAAAACTATAAATTGATTTTGACATTCATTAGAGAATAAATGAGCAGACAAAATAAACAGAATTTCAATCAACAAATTTCCTAAAAGCATTTTCAGAATATAATAATTTTGAAAAGTACGGAAAATGGATGTGCGATTAAAATTTTAATCCACTCAATATCAAATATTGCAAATATAAATAATAACTTACTAGCATCCTCTACAAATCTACCTAATATTTTATGTTAATATACACACTATCAAATAAATTGATAACATCAGCATTAAATATGCTGCCTGTGTGCCTTTCTCTCATCTCGTCTATGAAAGATTAAAATTCCTGACCTAGCAGTTCAATAAAGATAAAAATAAAATAAGTAGATTTTATATATAAAAAAGAAGTATATTCTGAGAGAGTCAGTCGATAGAGTAAAAGTGAGTAAAATTCAGATTTAAGCAGCTATAAGTGAAGAGCACAATCATGCATGAAGCCAACTGAATATTAAGCTACATAGATAGAGATTCTGACGATGATAATAGAGGTTCAATGTTAGAGATGATTTATAGAGAAAAGTTTTTGATGTCCTTGTAATTTGTAGATATTAGAATATGTTGGGTATGGATTATTTAAATTATGAGTCTGTAGCTCTTGAATTAATTTATCCTTGAGATATAGTTTGCAAACTAAATAAGAATGCTATGAATAAAAGATCAAGAAAAATCAATACTAAAGGGTTCAGTCTTTCAAGCTTTTCATGACTTAGATTCACTCATTTGTAAAGCAAAGACCTATTCTGACTCAATTATAAAGTGACGACTTAATCTATCTTAGTTATGAAGCGACGATTTAATCTAAGTCAATTATGAAGCGATGACTTAATCCACCTTATTGTGAAGCGACAACTTAAACTTATTCAATTATGAAGCGACGATCTAATGTGGCTTGATTTTAAAGCGGAGATTTATTCTGACTTATAAATGAAGCGATGACTTAATCTAGCTTATTAATGAAATGACGATTTAGTTCAACTCAACAATAAGGCATCGATTTAACTTAGATGCCCCAGGTTTTACAGGTGCAACTTAGTCTGAGTGAATAACTTTACAGCGATTAAGCCCTCAAAATCCCGTCCAAAAGAACCCCCAAACTAAAACTTTCATTTTAAACCACAACCGTGTTGAAAAAATCTCATAAATGGCCCCTCGTTTATCTTTAATCCTTTTTAAAGCACCACACTATCTCTCAATGTGTCTGATTTGCTCGCTCCACATGCTATACAATCACGTTCCGACTGTATTGGTGAATGGCAATGAACCACTTAAGATCCCTTTAACTTAAATTAATCCGAAATGCAATTTTTTATATCGAACGAGTCAGAGCAGTACACGAAAAAAAAAATCGAAGGATTTCTGGTCTTAATAAAAACATCGCCAAAGTTAATAAAATTTTATTGGCAATCGATTTTTTATATTTTTTTAGTCTCCTTCTCCAGCCTCTCTCAACATGCACACGAGGAAATTTCGAGATCAATTCGAATGTATAAATTATTTATTTCATCCTTTTATTATTATTACCGGATCAAAAATTTAAGGCAAAAATAAGAAGAGCAAAAAAATGGATTTGAGTGGATTGGGTTTTTTTTCTGTACAATGTTGCTAAAGACTAAGTGGAAAATGAAGAGGGTGGATGGAGAAGAGGACGATAGCGCTTATCAAATATTTATTCTGACACGTTTTAGAGACGAAATGTAATTTTTATTGAATCCAGTGGAGTGTGTGCGCTAGTGTGATGTCAATAAAGGGGATATAAAAAATTAAGGGGGAAAGAAGGGCATTTTCCAGTGGGGAGAATTGTAAAGCGACGACTTAAAGTCAAACCGCAAAGCGATGAGAACCAATAAAGCATTGAAGCGGCAAAAGAGTCAAGCTTTAAAGCGACGACTTAGAGAAAACGATTGAAAGCGATGACTTAGAATTAAGGATTGAAGCAACGACTTGGAGACAAGAACTAAAGCGACGATTTCCAGTCAAACTCTAAAGCGACGGTTCAAAACCAAATCATAAAGCGGCGAGTTAGAGTCAAACTTTAAAGCAACGATTTGGAAACTAGAACTAAAGCGACGATTTTGAAACTAGAACTAAAGCGATGACTTAGAGAAAAGCCATAAAGCGGCGACTAAAAGTCAAGCCTTAAATCGACGACTTACACCCACAAAATCAATTTTCCAAACAACCTCAAATTTTCCCCTCCAGCAAATCGCCGGTCTTAAAATTACATGTAACCGTGTAACATAAGAAGCAATTCACCCAATATCATCATCCACATCTTCGACTGTACACCACATACCGATATAGCAATAATAAAAGTGATAAAAATAATTTAAGGAAATAAAAAATTGATGTGAAAGTTGCGGACTTGCCATATTATTGAGATGAAGATGTTCGAGTGAGGGAAAGTAAGTGAATTTATGGAAGGGTCCGGAAATCATGACAAAATATTTATCAAATCGATATTATTATTGAGTATTATAAAATTGTGATCTGTGAGTTTTGTTCGTCCTTTCCTTCTTTGATTTCTGATGCGAGGATTAAATTTGACAATTTTTTAATAAAAGTAATATTTTTGGTTGTTATTCTTTTATTGTTTAGATAAGATTTTCAATTTTTATTGAATTTTAAAAGATGTTTGAATTCATCAGCTATGGAATTATGGCTAGGTAACAATACGACGAAATTACTAAATATGGTAAAATTTACATTGCCCTTTAAAAGTCATTTAAAATATTAATTTACTTCAAATTTATTGCAAACACTTACAATTGTCATAAATATTCGTTTTTGGGAAGAACCAAAGTTATTTTTGGTGTCCATTAAAGATAAACGATTAACACAAGAATTCACCTTTTACTAAGTGTTTGATTAATGTAATCAACATTCATTTATTACGTAACGCAAAAAAAATCTTTTAAGACCCCCCTCCCCCCTTGTCACAAAATTTCTTTTGTTTTAACTATCACAAAATCCCAGACCCTCTCCCGATATGCAATAAAATGTTTAATTCAAGGAAAGAAGTGAGAACGGTTTTCTATTTAAGGGATTAATATGTATTCACAATAGTTTTTGACTAACGCAGCGCTCAACACTCACCCGTGAATTTATCCCCGTCATCAAGAGATGCAATTATTAAGAACTGATGCGAAAAAGAACACTTCACTGATAACGAAAATTGTATAAAATCATGTGTTAACTGCATATTAAGTAACAGTTCAAGTTGAAAAGTTTATTAGTAAAAAATGATTTACAAACTTGTGATTTTGATTATTTTTGTGAATTTTCGTTCAAGTCTCGGTCAATTTTTGAGTTGTAGTTACAGAAATAATGACACTTACGGATATACTTGTGATTTGACAATTCAAAATCCAAATGGATTGAACAATTTTGCATCGAATTGCATTTCATGGTGGAACTCATTTAACAGGAAAAACAAACAATGATGTTCAGAGAATATTAAGAGCAACTGGTTCTTCTACAAATGTTCCGTCAATAATTTGTGATAAATTTCAAAGCGTGACTAGAATTTATCTGTATGACATGGGAATTCAAACCATTGATGAAAAGGCGTTTAAGAATTGTAAAAAGCTTCAATATTTGTATTTAAATAGCAACAGAATCACAGAAATTCATGAAAATGCATTTGTCGAATATTTGGAGCTTTTGCGTTTGTATCTTATGATGAATCAGATATCGGAATTATCAGCAAATGTCTTTAGAAATCTACAAAAATTAACGTATTTGGGTTTACATGCCAACAAGTTTTCTGATTTGCCGCAAAACATTTTTTATTCACTTTACAATTTGAAAACCTTGAATCTGGAGAGTAACCAGTTGAAAACACCAAGAGTTGAGTGGTTTCTATCACTTGAAAATTTACAAATTTTGTGGCTGAACAGTAATCAAATTGAAGAGCTCCCAAGAAATATTTTTATTCCACTGAAAAACTTAAATTCGCTATTTTTATACTTCAATAAGCTTAAGGTGATTCATTCTGATCCTTTTCGAGGTCTATTAAATCTAAAATCAGTAGAACTCTACAACAATCAAATTGAAGCGATTGATGAAAGATTCATTGATAATACTGGAGTACAGTCATTAACTGCGTTCAACAATTTTTGTGTAAATCAAGCCATTTTTGACTATATAACTTCAAGAATGACAATGAGGTTAGCTTTACAAAACTGTTTTAAAAACTTTGACAATTTGCTACCAGGTAATAAAAGTTAAAATTTAATTAATTGATAAAAGTAAAGCATTTAATTTTTCATTGATGAAAACACTAGCAAGGATCAGTAAACTTGAAAAAGCAGACGTAGAATTTAATACAAAAATTCAAACAATTCAAAATGAAAATCAGCAATTAATTACAACAACAAATCAACTCCAAGTCAAACTAAACAATATTACAGCAGAAAATATCAAAATCCGCTCAGAAATGCAAAATATTACCAAAGGAAATGAAGCAATCCGAACAGATGTAGCTAATTTGAACACCCGCGTGGATACAATCTCTAGAGACCAAAGTACACTTAAAAATGAGGTAAAAAATCAAACTTTAATCATCACTTCTCTCATTCATGACAACAAAAATCAAAGCTCAGTAATCAGAGATCAAGGATTAATAATTGCTGAAATACAAGATGAAAATCAACAACTTAAAGAAGGAGCCGTGAAATTGCAGGATCAAATTGAGGCTCAAGGAACAGTAATTGAAGAATTAGATTCATTTGTAGAAAATCAAGGGTCAAAAATTACAGAATTACAGGACAATTTAGAAGAATTGAAGTATTTGGTTTATGAGCTATCAAATCGTCCTTGTGCCTGCAAGAAAATTATTTTAATTTCTTTAAAATAGGAAGAAATATGCCAGTTTATTAATTTTTACGGTGGTGGTGAATTGACAATTTTATAAGAGTAAGAATTTGTTGTTATTTAATTCAAAATAATTGTTGTAAAATCGTTTTAATAAAACTTTATTTTATCTTTATTATAATTTTATATTGAAAATTAAAACTTGTTAAGCCACAATTCGACCTTGAAGCTAATATCAAATGAGGAATAATGCGATAATTTGCAGTTAACAAATCAATTAGCCACTTCGCATTCAACCTTCTTATCTGAATCTAAGATAATAACTTCATTTTGCTCTATATGAACAATAAAATTATAAAACACTCAAAAATAAATCTACGTGCAAAAGTCCCCAAATATAGGTAGACAAAATGACAGAAAAAAATAAGTCAGGAAATAAAAAATAAGAAGTTTTCAAAAAAAAAAAAATAAATCAAAAAGGTCACAAAAAGGAAGGAAACTTTTTTTCATTCTTTTCAGAAGCGGATCACTCAATGTAGTTGTAAGCTTCAATAAATTTAACAATTTTTTTTATTGTTATTTACAATTTTATTGGCAAGACGATCCCAATTATATATTTTTTTTTTCATCATCTTCTTCCTCAATAAATATCCATGCATGTTGATTTCAAAGCCAATTAAAAATAAAAATTTATCCAGATACGAGAAATTGAGATTGAGTTAACAAGATGATGGGACATGAGCATGTATCGCATCAATTGTTATTGATTTTATGTTGATTTTGCTAGTGAAATTTACACTTGATTGACTTCGAAATTCTCATGATTGAAAAAAAAAGGATTTTTTTTTTTATTGTTGACTTAACATTTTTCAATTGATTTCAACTTTGTGGTACAAAAGCATCCAATTATTTTAAATATTTGAATTTTTTGGACTGAAAAATGACCATCGTAGATTTACTAAGAAAATTATATCAAATAAAAAAGTTTTTGAAGCATATTTTATGGCACTTGCTGTTAGTGAACTTAATAAATCTAGATTTAATAAAAGAATGGTTTCATTTTATGAATTTGAATGATGATGCTAAGTGGATGTTGCAGCTGAAATTTGAGAAATTATTTTCATTGCCCGTCTTATTTTGAGTGTTGAAGCTTCTTTTGTAATTCATTGAAGTTGGTACTTTATGTAAAGAGTCAATATTACACACTTTTTAAATTTAATATGAGCTAAGACCCCCTTCTTAGCTACATTACAAAATTGCTATACGTAAAATTGATACCAATCGTTTTGAGTCTCCCTTTGCCATTTAGGGGCAAATTTAATATAATTGGTGGTCAGTAATCTTTTCAAAAAAAATTCTGATCACACCAATGCCAGTCTTAAATTACATTATTCACTATATAAACCAGGGACGTAGCCAAGAATTTGAAGGGGGGACAAAAAATTTCTTTCATATTGAATAATTTTGGGAGGTTTTTTAGGATTTTTTATAAAATCCTATCAAAATGAAGAAACTTTTGATAACAAAGGGGAATTTTTTTGTCCCCACATCTCACCCTCCTTGGCTACGTGCCTGATAAAAAAAACTAAAACTACTGAGGTATCGGAACAGAATGGAATCTAGGTAATTGAGTGACATGTAGGCAAATCCACCAGTGCAAAACGAGGACTTTGTTGCCGAGGGTGATTAGGCAACAGACCGAATATCTTTAACCCTCTTTTAAGAAGATATGGGTTCGATTCCACACAAAGACCAATCTATCAATCCATTCCAACACTCTATGTCTATTTCACAAGGATTCACACAATGCGCACGAGATAAAAATACATGAAAATTATTTAAAAAAATTTTAAATACCCAAAAACAATTTAAATTTCCTCACACAACATTAAATACACATTCAAAACTTTCAAAGTCTTTCCCCAACATCATCATCAGTATCATTTCAATTGATTTAATCTTCAATATCGTGTCAATATAAAATAAAGATTGAATGAGACAGACTAACATAAAAGGTTCATTCACAACTTGATATCACACACAAATTGATCTCAATTTCAATCTCATAAAATCCTTTTTAATGTCGTCTCACATATGTTGATTGTATGGAAATTTTTTTGAAATGGATATGAGGAGGAGGTTGTCCTTTGTGGAGAATTTTGGGGATTTTTATGAATTTTTGTTTTTAAGTTTTTTCAATATTTTTTGTTTTTTAAGTTTTGCTAAGTTTTATAAAAATTTGCTCCGTTTTTTTTTGTAGAAATTCGTAAGATTTTATAGAAATTTCTCAAAATTTCATCCCAATGGATCCTCACAATCATATCATCTGTAAATAAAGTCAGAAAAAGTTTCAAAAAAAAATCAAAAAATCAAAAGAGATAAAAAAAATTATTCACATTCAGACACAAGCAAGAAGATTCATGAAAATTGAAAATGAATAGAATGAATTTCTAAATGTTGTGCTACATGTTTTGATACAAAATATCATCATCATCATCAAGATAGTCGGTTGTATACATAAAATATGAAATTATGATTGAGCATGTTGACAACAACATTTAACTTTTCTAATTGAATGCTTTTGATACGACGACAGATGTATTTATGTTTCATATTCACAAATTGATTTTATATTGAAAATCAGAAGCATGAATTTGTCTTTGAAAATATTTTATGGGTATGTAGGAAGGGATCGGTGTGTGGAGGTGGAATGGATATTGACAAAGTTGGGATTTGTGAGTGGGTTTTGAGCAGGAAATGAATTGATTCAGTTGAAAGTCGTGTGCTGCATGAAATGTGGCTAAAATTAACATTTGAAAATTTTCTAGACTTTTAGGTTCAATCTTTAAAAAAATAAAAAGTTTTCAAATTTAATTTAAAATTTAAACTCCTTTTGAAACCCTCCAAATTACCAGAAAACATACTCCCTCCCACCAATCCTACACACCCTTTTGTCTCCTTATTATAAAATCATAACTTTATTTACAAATTCCTAAATTGAAATGAATATTAATTTATTTACAAAATGATGAAATTTCATAATGCGATAAATGATTTAAAGTCTCAACTGAAACTCTTTCTCTCGACAAGCTTCAAAATCTTTGATTTAGATATGAATTTATTTATGATTTTGTATTTTGTAGAGAGTATGAAATATAGAAGATGGTGGGATATGGATTGAAATTGATATTATTGTAAATGTTTCTGACTTGGCATTTTTGAAGAAAATTTTATATCGAAATCATCCAAAGCAATTTTAAAGCTAGTTAAAGTCAGTTCAAAGTCAGTTCAAAGCTACTTTAAAGCCAGTTCACAGCGAATTCAATTTTAAAGCTAGTTCAAAGCAAATTCAAAAGGAGTTCAAAGCCATTCTAAAGCAAGCTCAAAATCATTTCAAAGCAAATTCAAATCAGGTTCAAAACCAGAATTCAAAGTAAGTTCAAAGCAAGTTCGAAATCAGTTCAAAGCGAGTTCAAAGTATGTTCAAATTCAGTTCAAAGTCAGTTCAAAATCAGTCCAAAGTGAAATCAAAGCAAGTTCAAAGCCAGTTCAAAGCTAGTTTAACTTATAAATTAACTTTCTTTTCAAAATTTACCAAAGTTAATAAAACCCGACCTAATCCACATCACCATTCAATATCATCACCAAACCCCTTTTCTCCTTCCCAATTCATGAAAGCAACTAAATTTATGTATTGTTGTCTAAATCATCAAGCATAAAAGTCAAATCTGATTTGTATTCAAATCAATCATGAAACTTGTACGACAACATGAGGAAGGCAATGAAGCAATGTGAAATATTTTCTAAAATGTACATACATAACAAAACAGATATAGCTTTTTGAGACAGAATATAATTTTCTCAATGAGATGGAGTCGGATGGGAATGGGGATTATTTTGATGTGAAGATAAGGAGTTGTTGGGTTTTGATTTAAGATTTAATGTTGAAAAGAAGAGGAAAAATGTTAAATGGGAGGTGACCTGAAAATGAGCAGATGAAAATATCATCTTTTGCAATTTAGTGATGTATGACATGAAAAACGAACGAGACAGGATAAATTAATTGATATTGTTTAGTCAATAGGGCAATAAAGATGAAGAATGAATGAAAAAAGTATTTTCCATATTGAGATTGAAATGCTCGATGGGTGTGAAATTTATTCATGAATTGACAACAAGCAATGTCAAAGTTTTTTTTACAAAGAATTTTATGGGAAAAATTGTTCATTTTATTAAGTGCACCTGGATTTATTGGCTTTTTTGTGAATTGCAATTGAATATTTATGACAAAAGTTTAAATCGAAAATTTTTATTATGGGCCAAATTAGCTTTTTGACTTATTTTCAAAAATTTAAAATAGTTTTACAAAAATTAAAAAATAAGAATTTAATTTTTTAAAATAATTCAACATTAGAGGTTATTAAAAAAATTATGTAATAAATCTTTAAAATAACACTTAAAAATAATTTAAATTTAGAAATAATCAAAACATAAGATTTGATTTCGACCTAAACAATCAAAACTTATTTTGACCAGAAAAAAATAAAAACAATCTCATTCGAGTAAAATCTCAAATTTTGGTATAAATAATCCGGATATTTCCAAAAATAATCATTCAGTATCTGAAACGCTAAGTGAAAACAACAACAAAACAAAAATCTCAAAATTCAAAGTTATTAAAAAACTTTAAGCAAATATACAAAAAGTTCAAATCTAAAATAAATTTCAAACTAAGAAAATAATTCAAACAACAAGAGTAAAATCTTCAAAAATGGAAATCGATTGGCAAAACGTAACTTTCGAGTTTGGAGCAGAAGATTTCCTACAAACTACCAGCGAGATAATTGCTCCGACAATGGTTCAAAAACCTCAGCAGAGCAACAACTTACCCAAAAGATCCAGAAAAGAAATGGAAGAATTTATCGTTCAAGTTCCCCAAAAAGTAGAGGAACTTGGAGAGTTCTTGATGTTTCCTCAAGATGACAGTCAATATTTTGAAGACAACGAGGATGTAATATATCCTACACAAAACGAACATATTGAAATTAAAGAAACAACCGGAAAAGTAATTTTCTACTGTGAGTCATGCTCACTCGACTTTCCGTCAATTGCATACTTCAAGAGACATCAGAATACAAAAAAGCATCAACGTGCACTAAGAATGGAACAACAAGGAAAGAAAGTAAACCAGAAAAAGCAATACGTAAGAAGGAATTCAGTAAACACTAGAACCATTCAAGTTAAACGAGAAGTTTGTCAGATAAAGCAAGAAGAAATGGGAATTCCTGATGTATATCAGACAACGAACAACCAGTTCGCGAATGCAGCTTCAATCACCGACCTAACATCAGAAGAAATATCAATCTTACACACGATCGACGACCAATTAATGAAAATCGAATCAGAAAATACAGCCAAGGACTTCTACGAAAACTTCAATTTCGACCTGGACATTGAAAATGAACCTGCAGCAAAGATTCAAAAGATGTCAACAATTGAAGAAATAATGGCAGATCTGTGTGCAAGCAGTGTAGCCTTCCGTAAAGAACAAGCTCAACAAAAGCTTCGTCATCCACTTTTTGAAGTTCAACAACAGCCAATTGTTCAAGTACAGCAACAACAACAAGTGAAAGTCCAGAAAATAACACAAAAGGTGCAAATTAAGGAAGAACAGTCAAAGATTCAATGCCAAATGTGTCCAAGAGCATTCAACCTTCGCTGTCACTTAACGCAGCACATGAACATCGTTCACTCAGGAAACAGGAACTTCAAATGCACAAAGTGTGGAAAGAAATATCCATCACAAGAATTACTTAATCAGCATATGGAGAAGCACTTAGGTGACAAGCCATTCAGATGCTCAAAATGTGTAAAGTCTTACAACAACAAAGTCGACTTAAAGAGACATTTTAAGACTCACGAAGAAATCAGGGACTACATCTGCAATATGTGTGGAGGTGGATTCGTTCGCTCTGATCATCTCGAAAAGCATTTGTTGGTTCATCAGAGACAAATCGAAGATGGCAGACTCGTAAAAAGAAGAGGACCAGCAGTTAAGAGCAAAGTCTTTTAAGGACTGAGGGGCAAGAAGGGGACAAATGTTGTTTAAACTGTAAATAAAAATAAATTAAAAAAAAAACTTAAAATTGTTGTGCTTAGTATTCAGCTTTTGTATTCCAGAAATTCGGTGACACTTCCTTCATATTCTCATATTCCGATAGTATTCCTAGAATAACAGCACCCCTAATTAACTCACCTCAATTACTTTATTATCCACTTCCTTCAATACATCCCCCATCTTCATCCATAAGCTGCTCATTTGTCCAACAAATAAAGGAAAAATGAGTAAAAATAAAAGAACACTTTACCGATTTCATGCTGAGTGAGAGATTGTGTCTGATATGAAAATAAAGAAGAGAAAAGGAACTGGAGGGAGGAAATGAACAACAAGAAAAATCGTACAACTGCCGTCAGTGAGTAAATGTAAAAACAAAGGAGCGTGGAATGGGAAGAAAGAAAACGTATAATGCATGCTGTTACTTAGCGCAATATTTTACTTTGCTTAGTTTTGTTTAATTTTTCCAGAAACAAATTTGTTTATAGTAAATATTTATGAGGGGAATTTGGAAGTTGTGTAAGATTTTTAATCAGACACAACATAGCATAGTGGCAGTTTCTTACTTGACTGGTTATTTGGGAGTTAATTGTGTTGTACTTATCGGTTGTTTCTCCGATCATGTTTCTCCGACACTATGATCAACATATCCAAGAGCAAGTCCTTGAGAACGAGTAGACTAGAAGTAGATTTAGACCAAGAACCCAAAATAAAGTGAGTGTCTTAGGTGTAATCCAGTAGTACTCAAAATCCTAGTAGTGGGTCATCGAAACAACAGAAACCCACGGGATAAAACTCACGAATTGAAAACCCACGCCTTATGAGGGTTCCCGAGGGTTTTAACGTGGGTTTTTAAAATAAAATGTTTCAAAAACCTTTGTGAGTTTTCCCGTGGGTTTGGTCTGCGGGTTCCAGTTGTGTCGATGATCAAGAATCCAAAATCCTAATCTAGTTCGTAATAAATTTAAAGTGGAATAAGGCCTTAAGTATTAAGGAGAACAGACCAGTTTTATACCAAAAGACCTGCAGCTAAGAAAGTATATTCTTTAGAATAAACTGAGCTATCGACTCCAAAAACTCAATATTTTAAAGAATCAGTTAAAAGAATTAATCCACTATTGTTTCCAAAAAAATATCTCATTCTCAACTCAATACATGAAAATATTGTGAATCCCCTAACCTCAATCAGTACAAAACACAATAAGAATGAGTTAAACTGCCGCCAAAATGTCTACTCACCACGCCTTCAATCGACTTTTAGTAAAATTTATAGATTAAAAAAGATGAGAATAGGATGTCTTGACTTAATTTATAATTTTTTGATTTCCTTATGCAAACTCGCTATTGTTGTGGATTGTATATTGTGCCTTTATTCCAATCGCAACCATAATTTTCAATATTTTTTTCTCTTTTTTGTGGGATGTTAAAAAAGTGTTTTTGGCAAATTACAAAAAGCACTCAAAAAGATTTCAGCTTAATAAATATTTGATATATGTGCAATAAATTGATATAGCATATTGAGCCACACTGCTGTTCATCCCTATTGTTGTTGAAATTTATGAGTCGGCTGTAGAAGGAGGGATAATATTGAAATTACATTTGGCGCACTTCGGAAATATGCAAAATACTGCAAGAATGCATTTAAAGTTATGATTTTGAATTTTTTTTTGTGCCAAAGCGAGTTAATATTGAGGATTGTTCAGGAGTTGCGTACCTGAAGGAGGTGTGAATGAGTAAAATAGACAAAAATTACATTAAATGTGATTATATATAATTATACCCCCTACCCCTGCTTGGGCGCTAAGAGAATTGCCTTTGGAGGGCCCAATGAAGCCTCTCCTGCTCATTCTATAACCCTGATTCCTTAAAAGTGTGTCAAACCACAAGAAATCATCAAAATCTTAAAATCCATCGTCCTCAACCCCATCCAGACTTCCATCAGCACAAAACAAATTTCCCTCAGACCAAACTAAAATAATTTCAATAATATTTGCCCATAACAAATAGTCTGTTTAATTTGCATGTTCATAACACGATAATATCTCCATAATTGTGTAATTAAATTAATAACATTCAGATCAGTTTAAGAAAATCTTAAAGCCAAATTTAATTTTCTCGATACAACTTGAATACGAGAATGCCAGACGACCAAATTACATTCCTTAATGAAAAAGCAGAACAAGAAAACTTACGTAAAATCAACAAAGCGAGCCTACAAGTCGAGTCGAGAGAAATTAAAATATCGATTGAGTTCTTGCCATTTACACTAAATACATAATGTACATTAGAATATGTATACGTTGAATGTTAAGGCAATATTATGCAATATAAAGGCATTGCTCCCAACATCACATCATCATCTCTCACTTCCCTTTCTAAAATAAGTTTGTTGTTGGCTATCTGGATTAGAAGGTTGGAGTGGCTAGAGCGCATTTTAGGGAATTTTTGAGAACTTAATTGAATGTACACTTTAAGATGATTTGGGAGTTGGACCTTGATTCCTTCCAAGGCTATTTCTCCTTTCATTTGATGACTGGACGTCATTTAATGCAAAAATTCTCTCCTCTCCTCGTTTGATCCCAAACAAAACTGATAAGACTTATTAAAAATGATAGTCAGTCTTCAAAATCAAGTGCGTGAAAGCTGTTTATATGTTTGTTACTGTGCTTTAGAAGCTGATAATTTATTAAAATAAATTTTGAATTGTGCGATCATGTGCTAAAGTAAATATTTGTTTAAAAATTATTTGTGAGATAATCTAACATTATATTGACTTGGAGCTAATCTGAGCCTAAGCATTACTTAACTGGTTTGAGCAGTTCTGGCTTTGAGCCTGGATCGAATTCTAATCTTGAAGTCGGTTTCTAGGGCACCCTTAAATAAAATTTATCTTTGATTAAGGTTGGGTGCCTCGAGTAGCTCTACAAACTGACATCATGTTGGTTTATCCAGCCCATACCTGACAAATCGACTAAATCCTTACTCTTGCAGGGACCCTGAAATCATATTAAGTACCGCTAAACCAAATCAACAAAATCTTCAGTTTTATAGATGGTCTCTTTTATGGTTTAACGATTTAAGGCTTTTCTATTACCCAAAATGCCAAAACCAACCCTTTGCATACAAACCAATTTATGCTCCCTTAAAAATAATATTTTTTTCTCATTCATTTGCACATACACAATAGAGAGAAAATAGTAGGAGAGCACAGTAGCCCATATCCATAATTTACCTTCTCATGAAAACGTAAATGAGTCATTAGAATAAATTAAGAAGTTGAATAAGTTGCAGAAAAAGGCTTTTTGCAGTTCTCTCTCTACTTTTTCATTCATTGAATGTAATTTCCATTGAAAGTACTTAATTTGTGCTTTAAGACTTTCTCCATTCATTTACTTTTGATTGTGTGGAGATTTTTTTTTTTGAGGAATGAAAATTTGTAAGGAAATTTTATGTTTTGGTTTTTAATCAGGTTAGCTTGATTCTTTTATATTTCTGAGAGTAACTCCTTGGGTTTGATCGCTTCCTCTGGTCCTTTGGTTGTATCAATAATTGTTATGGATTTCAAGAATTGGACTTGATCCAAGCATCGCTCAGCACTATCCTAATTCCCAACAACTTTGTGGAACCAAGTTTGGTTCTAAATTGACACTGAAATTCGACTTTATACAAGCCTAAAGTTTGCTTGTTCCATTTATTTATAACATGTGCCATTCGGGTTTATTCACACTTCTTACAACTATCCTTCAACTATACTCAAAACATCATGCAATGTAAAACAAATTGAATTAACAAAAGAATTCTTCTTCCATTCGTATGGTCATGAGTGGCAGACTAGCAAGGATTTTATTTATTTTTTCGAAGATGGTTGAGTAAACTCATAAAACAATGAGTATGCAATTATGATTGGCATGATTTGTAGAACCATGCATGTCATGGATTATTGTGAGGTTGAGGTTGATCAGTTGGTGGATGTTTATGAAAATGAGGTTTGGGCTTAGATTGTTGAAATATAAATTTTTGAAATCTTGACAAAATGGAAGGGACTCAATCACCTAAAATCCCTATAAATGGTTATGGTACCAAGACTAGGTTCCCTCATTGCTCCTCTACTACAAACATCCCGTTCTAAAGGATCCTCAATTTACAGAATGTCACTAAGATTCATTGACACCTTACATGAGGAACGAGAGAGCATCAAGGAACGAGAGGACCTTCTTAGGTCTAAAACAATTAACCTAGTTCATTAAGAGCATCCAAACCTAGTCTTTAAAAAAGTTATTTTTTTTTGCATTATTACTCACCATATAAGCATCAATTCAATTCATGCCAACAATATTATTCCCAACTCCTCCTTGAAATATCCTTCTCCATCCTGTATTGTGTGCACTTCACAACATTCCGTGTCAGAAAGCACTTGAGCTTGAAAACGAATTGTAATAGGATACAATTTTCATTACTATTTATGTACAATATTCACATAAATGATAAAAAATAATTTTTTCCTACTTTTCTCTTTTTTTTTTTGCTCGTAAAAAATTAAGTTCAACGAATAAATTGTAAGGGAAATGATTTTGCTTTGTTTGGATGTAAACATAATCCTGATTCTATTTTTTTTTTTTGCGAAATAGGAAAGAGTAAATCAAAATGAATAAGGAGAATTTTATTGGAAGAAATGTTAAACAGTTGCAAATTAAGTTTAATTAAGAATGTTTGTTAATTAGGATTTAAAAGGTTTTAGATTTACGAGTTTGTTTAATGGATTTGATTAGCTAGTCATAATATATGGATATTCTGAAAAATACAAGGAGAAGTTTAATGGTCGTGACGTGTATAAGCACTTACCTTACTTTACTGGCCTTATAGATCAATTAAGATCCATAGCTTTGCTTAGTCGTCATCTAAAACTAGCTCAACTGCTGGCTACCGTCTTCCAATTTTTGATTCCAAGTATGACGTGTATATTCTAAGTTACTAGGGCCGCATCGAAAATGAATTCTACGTCATCGGAGACCACTTTTTCTTATTTTTCATTAATTTTCTCCATTAAAGTATTTTATATTTTTAAATAGTTTTATAGAACTCGCCGAGACAAAGATTTTAATAACAAATTTAAGTATGTACAATGTCTAGTTTCTTCTGTAGAGGCATTCGAATATCCTCCGATGAAGTAAAATCCCGAAAATTCGAATGGGTATTTTGAGTAGACAAGACCTCTCATATCTTTTTAATTTAAAGCTTAAACTTAAATATTTCTGCACCAATTTGTGCAAGTTCATCTAGTTGTTCATTCAAATTATCATTTTAAACAATAAAATGATTGGAAGTTACTTAAATTAATACTTTAAATTTCAAAATCTTGTAACGATTGTCATTTTTTTGAATTTTCTTGTGTCGGTGAAACAATTTTTTGTCAACAAAAAAAAATTTCTTTCGAAAATTGCTGCAAACATGCTTAAAACCTTAAGTTGCCAATGATTAAAGGCCAGGAGTATGTTTTTTATGTTCCAATTTGTGTGGCAAAAGCGTTAAAGTTAGGAATCGATGTGTTTTAATAGGATTTTCAGATATTAGATTTTTGCAAATATTCTCAAAAATGCGGGAAATTTTAGGAAATTTTTGGATTTTTTTAAACCGTTTCTTTTCAAATGTGAAGAGGTCTGAAGCTGCGGATTTAAAATATTAAAATTAGGGGTCGTTCATTTATGACGTCCATGAGGGGGGAGGGGGGGGGGGTAGCAAGAAAAGATCAATTCCTTAAAATTCATTGTTCTTTTTTGTAAAATGACTGGTAATTTCGGTCGTCATAATTGAACGACCGCTTACTTCATTTTTAATTCAATAAAACACAAGTCAATTTATTTACAGTTTATACGTTTGAATTTAATACTCTTATCAAACAAAAACTATAAATCAGACATTTAATAATCATTGCTGCTCACTTTAACGTAATTATCAAAGCACAGCTTTAAACTAAACATGAGAGAGCTTCTCTCAATCGCATTATCATAAGAAGTCTCACCAGAGCATCCATTATCAGCCATTGCAATGAATTTTGTTCCACATTTCTCAATAAACAGTCTCTGAATTGCAGTTATTCGATTATATTGCAGACTTACGGCTTCCAGGTTGGGTAAAACTCCGAATGAGTCAAATTTGATGATTTGTAGTTGATTGTGATCCAGTGTGATGCTCTGAAGATTTTTGAGAGGAATGAAAATGTCTTTTGGAAGTTGGGAAATTCTATTCCAACTTAGGTCCAAAAATTCTAAACTTTCAAGTGACTGGAACCATTGAATTATTAAATGCGTGATTTTGCTGCGTTTGAATTCAAATCTCTTCAATTTTTTCAATGGTTCAAAAGTATTGTCAGGCAACTTGAATGCACTGTTCATCACCAACATTAAAGTCTCTAAATTATGCTGTCTTGAGAATATATTTTCAGGCAGTGATGTTGCTTTGGAGATCTCTAAATTCCTCAAATTATGATTCATACTGAAAGTATTATTATCAATCTTGGTAGTCATCTTCAGATCCAGAATTAAACTTGAAAGATTTTTGCAATCTTTAAAGGAGTTTTTGTCCAACTTTTTGATGCTACTTCGAGTAAAATCCATAGATTCTATGTTCTTGAATTTTTGACATATTCTTGATGGAATGTATGACAGCTTTGGCTGAAAGTTACCGACAATCCTCTTGACATTGTCATCTCCATATCCACCTAAATGTGAACCGTTTAATCTGATGAAATTGTTGAGCTGATTTGGATTTTTGATGGTCAATAAGCATGAATACTTAGAAACTACAATTATGTAGTCACAACTTAGAATATCAAGTTGAGCAAAAGCTGTTGTCATTATTGTAAGAATTAAATATAAATTTAGAATCATTTTAAAATTATTTTTATTCACTCAGCACAATCAACAGACAGTTAAAGATTAAAATGTGATTTTACTGTGAATAAATAATAGGTCGTTCATCAATGATGTCTAACCTTTGAGAAGAGAGGGGGGGGGGGGGGGGGAGGAAGGAGATAAGGTCAGTGGCTGTTTGACACTTTTATTGAAATTAAAAGTTTTGTAAGTTGAAGATGAATGGTAAGAGCTTAAAATTCCGTTTCTTGATGGACATTATTTATTAACAAACCCTATTAATTAATTTTTTTTGCAAGATTATAAAACAAAAATGTGACTATCAGCAAGTTTTATTACTTTAGAAATTATTTCCGTTATCGCTACAATTTAATTCAATCTTGTGTTTGTGAAGAATGATTTTATTGGTCCAACTTCAAATTCTTAAAATGCTTTGGAGTGGTGAAAGAGTAAAATTTGGCGAATCATATGTAGACGAATCTACCAGAAATAGAAAAAGGCCTGAGTGGTTAAACTAGAGACCGGATATCTTTTACTTTCTGTTGTGAGGACGTTGGTTCGATTCTCATCAGAGACCGATATTTCAATCATTATAAAGAATGTTGTCGATATGATAATGATTCGCACATTGCTCACGACATTTTAACCGTCAAATAAAATTATTAGGTTAATCATGATTGTCTCTTCTTCTAATTTTGTTGCTTAAATTATTAAGCTTGTTCTTTAACTCTTCATTTTCTTTCATTAGCATATCAATTTTTACGTCCATTAGTTGTAAGATTTTCTGCTGTTGCTGAACTTCTTGATTTTGTAATAAGACTTTATTTTGTAAGGTCTCGAGCATGATTTCAAGAGCTTTATTTTCTATTGTGCTACTTTGTCTATAGAGTTTTCCTAAGAAAAAAGTTTAAAAATTTCATAATTTAAGTAAAAATTTCAAAAATGTTCCTTACTGTTCTGAATTTTTTTATAGTTTGTAATGCACTTGTGTAACTCCAAAAACAATGCATCTCTTGTAGTTGAATTGTCGAAAAAGTCTGAGCTATAGCATTTATTTCCAATCAACTTTATGTCTTCTAATCCAGTATTGTCTATTAATTGTTCATCAATTGCATTTATTTCATTGTCTTGCAAATAAATGGTTGTAAGCTTGGGCAAAGTCCCGAATGAATTAGAATAAATTATTTTTAAAAAATTCTCGCCTAATTCAATTATTTCTAAGCTTATTAATGATGCGAAAATATCTTTTGGAAGTTCTCGAATTTTATTTCCATTTAAATACAATTTTTTTAAGTTTTTCTTGTTTACGAACCATTTTTGACGTAGATTCAGAATTTGATTGTGCGATAAACTCAAATTCTGCAATTTTTCAAGAGATTCAAAAATATTTTCTGATAAGTCAAATATTTCATTAGAATTCAATGACAGAACTTCTAAATTTTGATTGGTTAAAAAAAGACTTTCTGGCCAACCTATTTTATTTTTCAGTTCTAAAATTTGAAGGTTTTCAAAGCCGTTAAAAGTGTTATTATTAATTTTGTCCATAGAATTTAATGAAATCGCCATTGATGAAAGATTTTGGAAATTTTTTAAAGTTTCTAATCCAGCTTTTAAGAATCTATGGGAAATATACTTATATCCATGAAGAAAATCAATATTCTGAAGGTTCTTAAATTTTTCACAAATTATTTTAGGGAAGTTTTCAGAATCAATATCCCAACCAACAATTCTATGCACTTTTTCATCTGAATATCCATTTAAATGTGTTCCACTGATGCCTTGAATATCGTCAGATCCATAAAGATTTTCAATTTTAAGAAGACATTCATAGTTAAACTGATTATTTTTTCGGTATGAGCAACTTATGCCTTGCTTCCATGTTAAACATGATTGAATATTTATAATAATGAATGTTAATATCAGCACCAATTTAAAATCCATTTTGACAACTTGAAGTTTAAAATTCAACTGAGTGGTCGTACTTATTTAAGTAAGTTGCTGATAATAGCAGTTATAAATAAACTCACTGATAGCTTTAATTCAGAAGGTCATTGTCGAGCACCAAATGTATAAAATGTTGACTCTACATAGCATGCTGGCTGGATGGCAGGTCGTTTAAATCTTAATATTGGAAGTAAATAAAGACTTCTTTTTTTCGCTTTTGATAACTGCTGTTTTTTTTAAAGTAATTGAACGTTTTTAATTAGTAAAACTCATTACTTTTGCTCAATTTACTTAAATTTTCTTATTTTATTGGAATAACACATTTTTATAAAACGCCAAACTTTGAATCTATGAAATTTAATTTTCAAAAAACCATTACAGGAAAATAGCTTTAATTTAGTAAAGTATGAAATAATAGAATTTATTCCATCTTCAAATCTTCGTCCGCAGAAGGGACGATGGCTAGTTCTTGAATCTTGGTCCTTAACAGATCATTTTCATTGGCAAGAATCTCAATTTTTGTGTCTATAGATTCCAAATGTTGTTGTTGATTTTCTTGTTTTTGTGAAAATTTCTCGATTTGGTCTTTAAATTGATCTGTTAATATTTTTAATTGATTTAAAATTTGGAGCATAATGTTATCGCTTCTGTGACCTTCACATTCTGGGATGTCACTGTTTCTGTAGAGTCTTCCTGTAAAAAAAGGCATTGATATTGTCAGTGGCGTAGAAAGAATAAAGCATAGTTTATAAATATTTTTCTTGCATTTATCTAAGACGGAGTTCAAACAGATCTAGCGATATTAATTTAATGAATTTTTTAAAAATTTACTCACTGTTTTGAATAATTTTGAAATTTGTATAGCAATTTTGTAACTCCAAAAATAATGCATCTTTTGTAGTTGAGTTGTCGAAAAAAATTGAGTCGTAGCATTTATTTCCAGATAAATTTATGTCTGCTATTCCAGTATTATCAATCAATTGCTCATCAATTGCATTTATACGATTGAAGCTCAAATCCAAAGTTGATAGTTTTGGTAAAATGCCGAATGAGTTTGAGTTGATAATTTTAATTCTATTATTTCTTAACTTGATTGTCTCCAAACTTGTTAATGCTGTGAAGATATCTTTTGGTAATTCAATAATTTGGTTTGCATATAAATTCAAACTTTTCAATCTTTTCATATTGGCAAACCACTTGAGTTGAAGATTCTGGATTTTATTGGTGGACAAATCCAGTTCTTGTAAATTTTCCTGCGATTGAAAAATATTTGCTGGCAAGTCTAAAATATAATTTTCATTCAAAGATAAAACTTTTAGATTTTGATTGGTGATAAATAGATTTTCTGGCCATTCAATTTTATTCTTAAGTTCTAACATTTGAAGTTTATCTAAACCGCTGAAAATACATTCATTGACTTTTTTCATGTAATCAAATGAAATCGACATTGATGATAGATTTTTGCAGTTTTTTAAAGTTTCAAAACCCGATTGAAAATTATTTCTGTAGAAAAACTTAATTTTTTGAATGTTCTTAAATTTTTCACATATTATTTTTGGGACATTTTTAGAATCTATATCCAAACTTTCAATCTCATGAACATTTTCATCTGAATATTCTTTTAAATGAGTGCCACTGATATTTCGGAAATCATCAGATTCATTTGGATTTGTTATTGAAAGCTGACATTGATAGGACATTAAATCACTATTGAGCTGGTATTTGCAGCGTATTTTTTTAACATTTGTTGAACATGATTGAGTATTAAAGAGAACAATTAATATTAGCACCAATTTTAAATTCATCTTAATGTCATGAAACTTAATTGTCAACTGAATTCTTTCCGACTTGTCATTTAGATTTCATTTATTTACGACAACTTGATTTGTTGGCTGATAATAGGAAATATAAATAAACGCACAGATAGCTTTAGTTCAGAAGGTCATTGTGGATTATTAAAAACCAAAATTCTTTATCATAAACTAAAGAATTGCCTATTCAACCTCTCAATTTCAATATAAAACACAGTGATTATTCAGCATTGCTGTTAATTAATGTAAAAATTCACTCATAACTTAATTTTAAAATCAAACAATTCTTCCACGTATGAAAACAATGCAAATAAAATAAAAAAATAAATTTCCATTTCTCGTCCATAATAAGGAACATTTTTTTTTTGTTTGCGTGCTCAAAAAGTCAACAAGAAAAATCCGATTTTTTTATGTGTTGAAAGCAATTTTTTAACAAGTCCATAAAAAGCATTTTTTATTTTATTATAAAAAAATATAAAAAAAATATTTTCAATTCCTTTCATTTACATCAAATTCAAATGTGTAAACTCGCAATTCTTGAATAAATATTTGAGTACAAAATGTTACAAATCTATCATCATATTTTAATTCTCTTATTAAATGCTTTTGGTGGTGAAAACATTTTCTGCTGAACTCTCATTTGGTCTGGCTTGTTTGTTTTGTTGTGAAATTGAGAGGAATTTTGGAAGTAAGGGGAGGGGATACTTGGAGCTTAGGGATTAAGATGGTTTGATGATTTTTTGTGTGTAAATTTTTCGAATTTTTTAATTGAAACTTTTGGGAATGCATCGATGTTACAGATCAATTGGCACTATATTGATGTTGATTTAATTGAAAATTACAAATTCTGCAAAAATTACAATTTTTTATAAATCATACTACACCCATGACTCCTCACCCACACTCTCCCAATTCCTCCAAAAAAATAAACATCAACTCCATGCAAGAATTCGACGTCAAATAAATTTCAATGGCTCAAGAAGGTAAGCAAAAAAAATTAATAATAAAAGAAGCTCCTGTAACTATTAACAAGAAATGCCCCATTACACCATCTCAAACTGCCTCTTCTTCCAACAATCTTAAATCGTCGACAAAATTTCTTTTAAACGAGATTTTTTTTGTAAGCTGAATGGAATGCAAATTACCGTCAGCGTTGGAGTTTCAATCCATAAATTATTTTCATATGAAAGTGAAAAAGCCATTGAAGAAGGGCATAAACAGTAACAGTTTTACATCTGCCTTGCTTGTCGAATTTTTTTGGATCCCTTGTGGAAGTTTTGGTTGTGTTTTTGCTTGGTTTTGGCTATGGCTGGATTTTAAGGGGTTCGTATTCTTTAGTAGGGATTAGAATTTGGACCTGTTGGTTTTAGTCGAGGGGAAGATAAACTCTGAGAAATACAACAAGACATGCCCTTGGAGTGTATAGGATCAATGCTATAAACATAGGGAGAATCATATAATAATCCAACCTTTCTTAAAAAATAGCTCAACGCTCTGTTGTAAGCAAGGCCCCTTAAATCATTAGAGACAAAATTCAGAATTCAGAAACAAATAGTTTCTGACCCATTAGACAGTTATGGAGTCCCTCAGAACTCCTGCAGTTAGCTTCAAACCAAAATTTCTCCAAAGAAATCCGACAAAATATCCCTAGTATCTTCCATTCCCTCCCATCCCATTTCCATCCATAGAATTAGCCATATAAAAATTTAATTTTATGATCACATCATAAATACCTTTTCCACCATCATCGTCGTGTATCTCCATCACATTCTCACCCTTAGTTTTGTTGCCAAATTGCCCTCTTACACGCAGTAATGAATAATTTTCATTTTTCTCTTTCCTTCCTTACTCACTTTCTGTATGTGTTGCTGGTGCTTTCTTTTGTAAATTTATAAGAGGAAAATACCACCGCATCCTCATCGACTTTCCTTTTTAATTTTTTTGTTAAGTTAGTTGAGCTGGTTTATGGGGAAGATGTGAAGATTTGGAGGTGATATGGACGAGACTGGATTTTTTTTGTTTGCTTGAAATTAAGCGAATTTTTATTTTTTGTCTGAAATTAAAGTTTTCAAAAGAATTTAAGTTAACGATAACGTTAAGGGGCAAACATTTATGGAGGTTTTGCAGATTTTTGAGATTTTTTTTAAACCTAGAAAATTAAAGACATTTTTCCAAAAAGGGAAAGGGTCGGTTATTAATTAAAAAACCTTAGCTACGCCCCTGCGTAAAATCAAGGTTATAATTTGGCAAGGCTTTCTGTTCCAAGTCCAGGTTCTTATCAACCCTCCTCCTCACTCTGCTTCACCGCTCAATCAAGGAGTGTCGAAATCTTTAAACCTCTAAAAACAGTGCCTAGTCTACCAACAATCAGAACTTTTCTTAACAATGTTTTTCCTCTCATAACATGAAAGGGAAATTAAATGCTGTTAAGTGTAAACGGTGAAAAGAACTTTGTAGGTGCGAGTTCGTTAATTAATTTTTTTTCATTCTCATTTAACTTCCTTCTTCATTTTTATGACCTTTTATGGGAAACGTGTTTGTCTCGTTTATGAAAGTTTTCAGCCAAACTGAAAACATTTTTTTTTTTCATTTGTTTTAAAATTAAATTAAAAGAGTATTTGAGAGATTTAGTTGCATGTGAGATAAAATGAAAGATGAATGAATTATGGAACTGATGGGACAGTTTGATTGTATCCGTCGGTTATTGAGGACTTATCACCAAGGATGAAGCTCAGATCAAGCCTATTAATTGTGATAAAATAAGATCAAAAGTCATTTGATTAGTTCAGATTAGCACTCTTGTCTGGGTTGATCACTTCTCCTACCAAAAATATTCATCAATTCAAGAACAACAATCAACCCCATTTCAAAAGACAAACGTTTTATCACAAAACACAAAACCTTTACAACCAATTAACCCAAAATTAGACATCAGTGATTAAACATTTAATTACTACAAATCCCATTCAAATCCTGCCTTTTAAAAAATCTCATTCATACAAATGAACAGCAAAAGATTCCCTAATTAACACTAAAAATTCTTTCTTCATTTCCTAATTATTATCATCATCCTGTGTATTATTCATAACTTCAATTACATGCACATCACATTAAATGTAACGATAATAAATCCACTTCGTTGTAAATGAGGCAATAAATGTGAGAAGATAATAGCCCGTCATGTCGTGACATCAAAAGAAAGAAACAATTTTTTTTCGTGTATTTTTTTATGTGCATTTCTCTCCCAAAAGGAGAATAAAGATAAGGAAGAATAAGTGAAATGCGAAATGAATGCTGAATTGAAAATGAAAGAATGGGAGAGAAAAGTAAGCAAAAAGTAATTGAATTAAGTGTACAGGAACAATATAATATGAAGGTAAATAATAAATGATCAAGTGGAACGGAGAATGAAGGAGGATTGTTAGGTAAACAAGATGAACAATGCACATCAGATTGTGGTTAAGGATCATTCGGTTATATCAGTGTTGTCCAAACAGTACGCCGCAAAAAAAGTCAGGAAATGCCACGAACTTAATAATGTGTGCGGTTTTGGTCGTAGCCTACGACTAAGGTGTAGTGTCAATATGATAATTTCATTTTTAATGCAGCTTGAATAGGAGCAAAATTCTTCTTTGATACCCTAAAGACGCTTGAGCAAAGTAGGGTTGCGTGAGATTAGCGAATTTTTCTGTTTACACTAGTAATTCTAAAATCATGCACCTTAAAACACTCCTAAGTATATCAGGAGTAATAACTAACTAAAATTCGGCCTGTTTCACTAAATTGGATTATCCTCGATTTCGAACTATCCACTTCAGTTTTTTGTAAATATCTTAAACTTTATGGGAGGTGTGGTATTTCTAATATTGGATTATAAAAGAGTGAACTATGCATGAAATTTCTGTATGCTTTAAACTTTTGATTTTCGGTAAGAAGTATTAATCATTCAATTTTCTAGCCAAATCTAGTAAATTATTATAATTATAATTTATTTGTCGACGTTACCGTCCGGAAGAATTAGGTATATATACATGTTTTTTTTACTTTTTACATTGATTAGTGATACATTTCATATCACTATGGGTGACGTAGAATCAAGCTTCTAATCTTCAAATCTAGGTTTCAACTAAACTAAGGCTCTCGTTTCAATCTTCTGTGGGCGTGACGTGATACATTTCAGGTCCGTTCTGACAATATTTCATTATAAGGTAATCTTGTAGCTCTCGTTCCTATTTCTCCCGCTACACTTCAAGTTCCTGATCCGTTCCTTAATCCAACGTTGCCCAAAATGCCCAATTATGGCTTGACTCGTACATTAAGCAGTCGAAGTATCTAAACTTCTGAAAAAGAACAAATTTGGAAATGGCTGGATTCGAACCGACGACCTTCGAGTTACCATACCAAATTTGAGCCAAGCGCCTTACCTATTCGACCAGCAAGGCACTTAACTGCTTTAAAAATTAACTTCGATTTTTGCTATAATTCTCAAACTAATGAAGATATAAAAATTTTAAGTATATATTGATTTAAGGAGCAAAGTACTCTAACTAGATCACACATTAGATCTCTTAATAACCTT